ATAGGGATTAAGCGTCCTACCGCGATTTCTTTTAAACGGTATCGCCGATAGTAGTAGGAGGTTACGGCTATATAATATAGTAATCCTTTATTTATACCTATATCTCCTAAATTTGAGGACGTAGCGTTCCGTATATAATATATCCACAATTCCTTCCCTTAGTACTATAATAAAGTCCGGACTATAGTATTCCCTAGATAAGAATATCCCTAGTCGGGATAACCAGTATAGAAGGGGGTAATAGTTATCACGGTATACTTATATATAGTGACTTAGGACGATTCACGATCGAATCGACCCCGCGTTGCCTTAGGGTAATAACCCTAAAGGCTCTGTATAGGGCTATAGGGACTCGGTATACGGAACCCCTATATATATATTATATAAACTAGTAAAGTCTACTACACCCTAAGATTCAGTCTTTAATAATTATAACCATAGACTTAGACTCTCTGCCTAGCTAATAGGTTCTCTGTCCTACGATACAGACCCCCTAATATATATATTATAGTTACTCTTATAGCTATTATAGAGTACCGACCCTAAGCGATTAAACTCGTATTCTATAGCGAAAGGGGCTATCGTAACTAGATAGTTATACTCTGCCTTAGTCCTACCGAAATACTTTAGATACTAGAGAAAATCGGGGCTTACGGTTACGAAGTTTAGCGTAGGAGGTATACGGCCTATTCCGCTAGTAGCCTCGTAGCGACGATAATTCCGATAACGACGGGGTATTCTAGAACTAAGCTTAAATAAGGGAAGTAGGTTGAAATTGAAAATCTCCTTATCTATAGGGAAAATCGATTCTATAAATCTTCGGGGACGAATCGTTAACGAAATACCCTATCGCGGACAGATTCCTAGCTCCCCGACCGATATTAATCAGGTAAATAGGGATTAAGCGCCCTACCGCGATTTCTTTTAAACGGTATCGCCGATAGTAGTAGGAGGTTACGGCTATATAATATAGCAATCCTTTATTTATACCTATATCTCCTAAATTTAAGGACGTAGTGTTCTGTATACGATATACCCACGATTCCTTCCCTTAGTACCACAATAAGGCCTTTCGCCAGTAAGTAGATAGATATATAGGAATATTAGAGTTAATAAGAATAATACTACTTAGAGTATCGCTAGCTAGAATACTAGATTATAGCTAGCTCTGCTAAAGAGATCGAGTTAGCGTAGATATACTATTAGAAGATATACTATAAGTTACCGAAGTATATATTAATACTAAAGAGAGGTTATTATCGGTATTAAGTAGATATAAATAGCGAAGAATTTACCTATATTAAAGCTAGAAGAAGATTTCGAGTACTAGGAGGAGAAGTATATTATAAGTTATAGGAAGGAAGAGAAGTTAAGAACGAGTATTTAAGTAAGAGACTTACCTTATCCTAGGAGTTACTATATCGAGGGAGATTCCTTTAATATAGGTATAAATTACCGGATTTAGTAAACGCTAGGAAGCCCTATAAAGCTATAAGGGCCTAATCCCGTCTATTCTTTATATAGGTTAATACTATCGTCTGATTTTTATAATAGTCGGCTTCGCCGATCGATTTTCTTTATCTAAGTTCTACTATTCTTATAAATATAGCGCCGATTAGCGGGAATTCGGGTTAGAAATTATAGGAATTATAGGAATTCTAACTCGGATATAGCTCTTTCGATAGGGGAGCGTAAGCGTAAGGATTTTCGTGGCGTATTTCTTTATAAGAGATTCCCGACCGCGAGGGCGCGGTCGAATCTAGTAGAGGAGGATATAATCACGGGCCTATAGCTACCTTAGGTATCCTAACCCTTCCTTTTCGCGATAACTAGAGCTAGATAAGCTATAACCTTACTATATAGCTCTATTCGGTTATATAAGGACCCTTAGTCCTCTATATATATATAGTTACGTCCGTAGCTATACTTAGAAGAACTATATCCTATCTATCCTCTAGATCTTACTACGGAGTCTCCTCTTCTTACGGGTTTAGAATACCCTTATATCTTAGTCTATACTAATTAGCTAATTCTATCCGTCTATAACTATATATTCCTTATTTTATTCTCCTACTAATATAATACTAATTTTATATAGACTCTACAGAAACCCTAACTCGCTCGAGTATAATACCTACGTCCTATCGATATTTAACGGCTCTATCTCCTTTATCGGAAGTTACGTTAGTAGCTTAGTTAATCTAGGTAGCCTTTACTAATTTTACCTATCGATAACTATCTATAATACTACGAAGCTACGTCTCGGTAACGACTCTACTACGTCGTATATAATCTTTAAGGTTATATATATACTTCTAGCTATTTAACGTTAGGCTAATTTCCTAATACCCTCTACTAGGCGCCTTCTCTAGGTTTCTAGAGATTAGGTAGGTTATTACGCTATCGACGGTATAGAGTATCTCTATATAATTATTATAGCTATATCTTTTATACCTAATACTTTAGCGGTTAGGGCTACTTCGATTTAACTAGTTATTTCGACTATACTAGGAAAGTAATAATATCCGGTAGTCGGTACTAGGCTATTAGTCCTCCTACCTAAGGAGCCCGAGGGCGCTACTAATATAGAATTTAGTAAGTTATTCTCTATATTATAATCTTCTTAACCCTCTACCCCTAATAGTACTCTATCTCCGCCGCTATAGGTTTTACTATTATCGGTAGCCTAGGTCGCTATAGACGACGATATCTTAATACTAGATTCGTCGAGCGATTCTGATACTATCCTTAGTATTACTAACCATAAGTACCTAGCCCGGGACTCTTTATAAGATAAGCCTATACTAGCGTCGCGTAAGCGGCGTCGGAGATCTAAAAAGCTAAAGAAGATCTATTATAATTAGAGGTTATACTGATCTTTTATTATATAGGAGATTCTGTTCTAGGTGCGAAGAAGCGTGCCGGAACCCGTACGGCTACTATTAGGCGTTGAGTATTAAGAAGTTTTGTATGTAGATAGCTACCTTTTATATCGTAGTATTTATAGTAGGCCCAGCTCAGTAGGGTATGTACCGGACACGGGGATGAACTCCTAACCTCCACGCACCGTAGTAAGATCGCCGGGCTCTGCCCATAATCCTCGCCAACTGGCAAATGTAATTCTCCTATTCCCAGCGCTCATAATGCAAATCTCTGCGATTATACCATATCATGTTCTGAAAGTACGATAAGGGAAGGGCCGCGTAAGCGCGGCCGTGAAACCTTGTTATTACTGACTCTAATTCCTAATACTTCAATACTAATCCATGCCTTGTTTCATTAATATTTATCCCTCGTTTTTGACGCAGATTGTAGTTTCCAGAAACCTACTCAATGATCTGGATACGCTCGCCCATCCTTATATCCTAGTAAAGAAAATGCAGCATTACGGACAGTGTAGTCCACATTATGCTCGATCGCTCCCGCTGAAACGAATCGATTGGCAAGCCCCGACTGCCACCTGCAGGCCATCAGATTAAACCGACCTTGTTTCGGTCAGGCTTCCCTTTTCGGGCCCGTGCATACATCCATCAGTAAGGTTGACTTGACTTGACCTGCGCGAGCTGGAGAGCAATGATCGCAATTGAGTCGGAAGATAATTCAGCACTGCATCGAGACTTGAGATCAGACTGATTCAACTGAAATCCTCTTAGAATTTGGGGGCAGGTGCGAGCTTGTTGTCCGGATGGTGATCTAAACTAACTCCAGGTTTCGGTAGACGATCTCCAATATATGTTTCCTGTCGATTATCCAACCGTGACCTTGAGGCTCATCTGACTGATGCCGACCGACCCCACTGACCTAATCACGGACGCAGAATAATATTTGAATAATTTCATGAGACGAGAAAACCCTATGGATGTCTTATAGAGTGTTGCGCAAACTGCCCGGTGTACTATTCCTATTGAGTTGTAGTTATTACTTGGTTCCCAACCCAAGGGATGGACTGGATGAATGCTGCTCAGGTAGATACGTACAGATGATTCTGCAGGTGGCAGCAAGCCATCAGAATACTCCTCCAGTCTCCACTGTAATACCGACTGGCCCAGTCGCATTCGTCATTCCAGCTCCTCTGAGGTACGTGAGTAGCGTCATCTCGAGAAATGATGCGAGGCCAGCAATGTCTTGGCTTTCGCCGTTATTGTTGTTGGTGGGTGGCGTCAGGACACTCGTGTGACGCCTCACTACTACTAGTACTGCTGGGCTTACTGCTTGGCTTGAAGCTGCCCGCAAAGAAAATAAGTCAAAGTGTAAAATGCCTCCACTTGTATATAGACGTCGTAGTGATGTAGTATGTATTACCTAGTCATGAGTGTGCAGTGATGTACGAGATGAGATAAATCTGGTGCAGTGTTTGTGTGACAACTGTACTGTTTTGGTAGGATCCAAGATCCAAGACCCAAGATCCAAGCCAGAACAACCTATGTAACCTTCAGGTACAACCGCGAAGCTTGTCCCAAGCGGGCAAACTGTGTACACCGAAGAGACTCGAGTTGTGGCGCCGATGCATTAGTGCTCAGCCCAAAGTGCCGCGCGGCGGTGTTTGACATGGGGTCGGGTGACGATCGCCCTTCTGAAACAAAAATAGTACGACAAAAGGCACTTTCGGTTACTTCCAACTCTTGGGCGCGGCTGTGGGGAACCAGGTACCGCTCGTGTCCACTGTCCAGTGGTCCACTAGAAGTTGCCCATGGACATTACTGTACTAGTACTACTGTCACTGCCTGCCCCTGCTCCCGCTCGGTTTCACTTTTCAAAGCATTGACGCTTGAACTTCCCTCCGTCAATTGTCCTTGCCTCTCTCCCCGTAACCTCGCTCTCAGTGATTCTTCATCAATCCCACCCACAAGTGTCCTTCGCGGCTCCCTCAGTTCTCATCGGCGATATTGTCCACCCTCCCATCACCGGTTGTTTTGTTTTGTTGAAAAGATAATAGCACGTCCGTCCTCGATCCGTCCCAGCCGCTCTTTCATGTTCAGAACCTCGGCTGGCAATCCACCATGGCTGCCAACGAGTATTACAATCACTCAAACACATCACATCCACCAACCTATGACCAGTTTGCCGATGGGCCAGGGCACAGCGGTCATCCTGCCCAAGTGAACCCCAACGCGCCCCCTGGATACACCCTCCCAGGCCCAAGTCACCAGAACGACCCCTCCGCCCCTTATCACAACCGTCAAAGCCAATACTCCTTACAATATGACAATGGCGCGTATGCGCCAGCGGGCAGAGTGCCCGATGGGGACCACTACGCCGAGAATATCCCTCTCAAGGCCCAACCTCAATATGGCAACAACCCAGACTGGATGCACCAACAAACAAATTATCCACCTCCCTCTCCAGGAGGGTTGGAGGGCCCACCACGGGTCGTCACCCAAAGGAAGCCAGGCTTCTTTCGAAAGAAGCCGGCGTGGGTGACTTGGGCGCTGACTTTGGCTCAAATCGCGGTGTTTATTGTGGAGTTGGTCAAGAATGGTGAGTGTATTCAAAGTCGGGGTTGTGAGAAATGAGTGCGCGCAATACGGTGACCCAACGCAGGATTCTCGTGCCCACTCGTCCTTGTGTGCGGCCTCAAGCTAATATCTACTATCTGCAGCCACTCTTACGGGATCACCGATCGAGACAAAACCCTCATTCAACCCGATGATTGGACCCTCTCCTTACATCCAGATCTATATGGGCGCTCGCTACGACCCCTGCATGAAGAATATCCCCGGCGTGCAAAACTCGAGCGTTTCGATCATGTGGCCTTGTCCGAACAGTACCACCACAAATTCCGATTGCAGTCTTTCCGACCTCTGTGGGTTCGGCGGCGTGCCCAATCCCAGAGTTGGGGGCTCGATCGACGATACACCGGCGCCCAATCAGTGGTATCGCTTCATTGTCCCCATTTTCTTGCATGGTGGGATTATTCATATTGGGTTCAATCTGCTGGTGCAGATGACCATGGGCGCGGACATGGAACGTATGATTGGCGCATGGAGATACGCCTTGACCTACTTTGCCAGCGGTATCTTTGGCTACGTCTTTGGCGGAAACTACGCGGCCCCTCTGCAGCCCAGTACCGGGTGCTCCGGGGCGCTCTTTGGCATTCTGGCGCTGTTCTTGCTTGATTTGCTCTACGATTGGCCTCGACGCGAGTCGCCCTGGGTTGAACTGATCATCATGGTACTGGGCGTGGGGGTCTCTTTCGTGCTGGGTCTCCTACCCGGTCTCGACAATTTCTCTCACATTGGCGGGTTCATCATGGGACTGGCCATGGGATTGTCTATTCTCCGGTCACCCAATGCGTTGCGCGAGCGCATCGGACTCGCTCGCCAGCCCTACGTGGCCATGAGCGGAGGTGTCGGAACGGACGCCGCCGATAAGCGCAAAACCAGCTCTGTGCTGGACTTTTTCAAGGGCAAGAATAACATGGTCTCTTCCGCCTCCGAGGGAGAGACCGCCACGGGACCTCTTAAATTCTTCAAGGGCCGGAAGCCTCTCTGGTGGGCTTGGTGGCTTGTGCGAGCGGGTGCGCTGGTCGCAGTCCTGATCGGATTCATTCTTTTGATCGTCGATTTTTATAAATATCCTGCTTCCCGGTGCTCGTGGTGTTATCGGCTGAGTTGTCTGGTGAGTTGATTCTCTGCACATGATATTTGAGCTGAACCTCCGTCGAAACATGGTATCCCGACAAACACGTGCTAACCTTCTGAACTCTCCAGCCTGTGAATGACTGGTGCAAGCAAGACACGTTGCAGTCCATTTCGACTACCACGAACAACTAGGCGGGTCGAAGAGAGATATGAAGCTTGCCTTTTACATCACGCTGACCTCGACTGGTGGCGTGTTGGAAGCATCCTGTTATCTTCAGAAGAAGATCTATAAGAACCTGTACATAGAAGCGTGAAGTTACCATACATTATACCCCGCAGATATTTGAGCGCTTTCGGCTGGCCAAGTTTCCGGAGAGTCTTGTTTGAAGGCATGCACAATAGCTCGTGACTGGCCTGTCTGTGCTGGTTGCCAGGACTCACCTGATGCCTAGATTATCAGACCAGTATTCAGATGACTTTTGTAAATTTTGCCCGTACACGGAGCGACGCCTATCTTTCGCAAAGAACTTTAGACCACATACTCAACTGACATCACTGATCTGAGACACATTTTCCAATCTCCATTGAGCCGTCTGGGCCGAGCCATGCAATCGATCCACATCTATCAAGAAACATGGGAGCCAGGTACAAGTCTACTCCAGTACTACTACCACACATTCTACCGGTACAGTCCCACCTCTGCTTGAGCACGTCCCGCCTCTGTTGCTGTTTTAAGAGTGTGGCTCATTGCGTGGCTGTGCTGGGTGACGCAGCCGTTCAAAGTCCGTCCCGAGCCCTGACCTCTTTCGGCTTAGACGCTCCGCTCGCCGCAGGCCACGACGACTCCGGCTGTTATCCGCGTGCGGCGGTTTCTTCTTTCACTCTCGAAATGCGCCACGCTGACTCCTGAGGCTTCTCTCTCATTGTGAAATTCTCCAGCTCTATCGACGAGCGAGCCTGCCTTCCAACGAACATTCCTTATTGATGAGGTGACGAGGACGGGTTTCCTTTCCTTGTCGCAACTTTAGCTGTCCATGGCCACTTTGGCCCCGTCTCCGCCGTTGTCACCCTCGTGGCCGAAGCGACGACCTCGAACATGGGCGCTGCGCTGTGAGCGGTGGTGTTGCGCAGCCGCGAGCTCATTTCCCCTCATCTTCGTGTATGGGTTGACGACGTGGGCGGTCTATGTGGAAGTCAGTATTGGGTTGAAGGAGCATCAGAGTGTGTGGATCGGTACGTTTGTGGGGTTCCGAAGAATACTGTGTTGAATAGAGATCTGGGGAGAGAGAAAGGGAGGGGGGCTGGAGGGAGAGATGCATCAGCCGAGAAGTGATGAAGATGCTCGTGTACAATTTCCTCGGAGATCAGCAGCTAATGGTCGTTCTTTCTTCTTCGTTGTAGGACTCCCCAGCACCTTCCTCGGTCTTTTCCTGTACGGCTGTTTAAACGCATCGTATACAGTTGCCGTCTTCACAGACCCCGGCTCGCCTCTCACGACACGTCGTGGCGGGCGGCATGAATACAGCGCTCTCCCTGTGTCCGAATATCCCGAGTTCACCTCTTATACCGTGAGTTCCTCCGGGGGCTCCCGGTATTGTAAGAAATGTCAATGCCCGAAGCCCGACCGCGCGCATCACTGTTCCACATGTAAACGCTGCGTCTTGAAGATGGACCATCACTGCCCGTGGCTGGCCACCTGTGTTGGACTGTACAACTACAAGGCCTTTCTCCTCTTCCTGATCTATACATGTCTCTTTTGCTGGGTATGTTTTGGCGTCGCCGCCGTCTGGACGTGGACCGAGGTGCTCAACGATACTCGTTACATGGATACCATTATGCCTGTGAATGTGGTGCTGCTCGCGATCCTGGCAGGGATTATCGGATTGGTCCTCACGGGGTTCACGGCGTGGCACATCAGCTTGGCCATGCGAGGAGTGACTACGATCGAGTGTTTGGAGAGGACAAGATATGTATCGCCGCTGCGCAAGGCTCTTGACCGACAACGTCATGAGCATGGGTCGGGCCACAGCCAGGCACCCGATTCTCAGAGTGAGGGTCTTGCTCATCGGCTTCAGGGCTACGGGAATCACATCCTGGATGCTCACGCCAATGCTATTCCAGGCGTGACGCGTGCCGAAGAAGGGGAGGAAAGACTCTCCCCGGCCCCCTACTCTCGCGGGGAAGGACCCAATCTTGACAACGCACATCATCCGATGACGCCGGCGCAGCAAGCTCTGACACGGTCCTATGCCGAGATGGAACGCCAGCGCGAGCGTAACAGGTACCAAGAATGGGTCGACGATCAAGATAGCGAAAAGATGCCACGGGCTTTTGATCATGGCTGGCGTCGTAACCTGGCCCACCTCTTTGGAGACAATCCTCTCCTTTGGGCGATTCCGGTCTGTACGACCACCGGGGATGGCTGGCGCTGGGAGCCAAGCCAGAAATTCCTCGAGGCACGAGAGCGGATTCGTACTGCCCGTGAGCAAGAGACCCAAACGGATCAACAGTACTACCGCGACCTTTACACGAGAAATTCCAACAACAGCCATGCCTGGGGGTGGACAATGCCAGTGCAGCTCAGTACGCACAGCAACAACGACAACATCATCATCATCATCAACAACAACAACAACAACAACAGCAGCAGCAGCAATCACAACAGCCTGGTTGGTCCATCAACCGACGGCCCAACGATACTCTCGAACGACCGACTACGAGTGTCTCTATGCAAACGCTTGCGCCTGCGTCTCCCCGACCGCGACCGGGAGACAGTGATTATGAGGACGAGCCTGAAGAGGCCGGGCTCTTATATTCTGCTGAGACTGGGAAGAGTACCTCTGCCAAGGAGACAACCGGACCTGTACGAGAAACCGATGAATGGCGAGATTGGGACGAATGAATCTAAAACCAACATTTGTAACTAGCAATAATGTCTACCTTTTTCCATCTTCCCAAACTACGCACCAAATTCATAGCGGTTCTGACACTATCACTTCTGAACTCCGGATAGTCGAAATCGCCAGCCTTCTGAGGCCGGAACAAACAAAATCAATTGAATTATATTTTTCATTCCCACTGCTGCATTGGGGGAGTTCTTGACGGCATGTCGGTATGTCACGACATCGGTACCTGATCACCCATCGTGTCACCTTTTTGCCACCGCTCTCTTATCTTCTTCTTATCCTCCACATTACTTATCTACCCCACAACCGCCACGCGCCACGTCACGCAGACCAAACACCTTACCTTTACCCATACACAGCACCACACAGAAAAACGCCAGTGACACCAGAAAAGCCACATATCCACACCAATCCAGCACGACAGAGAGAAAATAAAAGTCGAATTCAAAGCGTTATCATTCCTTAGGGGAAAACAATGACCTCCCCATCCACCCGTCGCCTCCTCAAAGAATCCACCGATATCCACAAAACCCCCAGTCCCTACTTCACCGCATCTCCCATCTCCGACACAAACCTCCACGATTGGCACTTCACACTCACGGGACCACCATCCCCGACCCCCTATGCCCATGGCCTCTACCATGGCCGCATAACCTTCCCACCTACGTATCCGCTCCGACCACCGAGCTTCCGCTTCCTGACCCCCTCGGGTCGGTTCGAAGTGAATCGCGAGATTTGTCTGAGTATCTCGGGCCACCATGAAGAAACGTGGCAGCCTGCGTGGGGGGTGCGGACGGCGTTGTTGGCGATTCGGAGCGAGATTATGGGCGGGGAGAGTCGGGGTCAGGTCGGTGGGATGGAGGGGAGTGAGGCGTTCAGGAGGGAGTGTGCCAGGGAGAGTCGCGCGTGGGTATGTACGGAGTGTGCGCAGGGGAGTAACGAGGAGGTTATGACCAGGTGGTGGGATTATTGTCGGGAGAAGGGGGTCGATATGGATCCAGATGGTTGTGGGAATGAGCAGCACGCTCAGGCGCAGACGCAGGCGCAGGATCAGACTCGACCGGAAGTCAATGGTACGAAAGAGACGGAGATCCGCGGAGGATCTACCGCCCAACTTGGCGAGGTGCAAGCACCAGTTGAGGGGGTGCCGGGGCACTCTTCCTCAGAGTATACCACAGCCCCAGCGCCTTTAGCATTTCCAGCGTCAGCAGTCGATTCCATTCAGGCTCCGACAACGATAGCGCCCTCCGCGCCACAAGTGTCTGTAGAAGGAGCCGAGTCCCAATCGTCTTCCACGTCAGCTCAAGGGGCCTCTGCTCCATCAACATCTCCACCTCATCTTGATGAGACTTTACGGGCAGCACCGTCAAGTCCACTCGTCGTTGCTGCCACTACCCCTGTTGTGGTCGCACGAAGGACTCAGACAGCTGCGAATGTCTCGGAGCCAGCTAACAGCCCTTGGCTGGATCGTGCAATCATTGGCATTGTATTTGCGCTGATCATTCTGATCACCAAGCGAGTAGTCAATGCGGATGACTTGTAACTCAGTGGTGCTGGTGTGGCGGAGCAAGGGTCCTAATCGTTCGATCCATGGCCTGGGCCTACACCTGCCAGCAATGTGCCACGAAAAGTTCAAGCAAGCTAGCTTTGCCCTTTCTTTTTCAAGATATGTGCACCACTTTGATTCTAGATCTGTACGGCCAAAATTTCCTGATCTTTTCTCTAATCTCTTCACTGTTGGCGTTTTGGGTTCTCAACATAGCGAGCGTCTGATACCGTACTTGATGTGTCTCTTATTTCGTTTTTTGAGGTACCTTGTCTGGTGTCTTCATGTTTACATTTGTTCAAACGTTCTATCCATAGCTTTACACAATATGATACAACACATAAACCCTCTTCCTTCCGCGTTCGTTCCATTGTCGGAATTCCATGAACTCACGCGCGCACGCAACTTGCCCTAAGTAACCGCCAAAGAGCCCACCGCTTGTGAGACAGTCCCGGTACTCGACGACGTCGTGTTGTCTTGTCTCGCAAGGTTCTCTCCCGCCCGGGTGTCTTTCTCGACCCCCTCGGTCAAAACCAACCACCACCATGGACGAACCATCCATCCGTTCTTCTTATTACGGCTTCGCCGATCCATCACACCAACGTCCTTCAACCAATTCAGCAGCAATTCAATCTCCCAGGCCCCCATCGCAGGTTTGATCATGCTAGAGATCCGTTCGGCGCTGAGCCCCTGGCGCATCACCACGCATCCTAGAACGCTGGCAATGGCCATTTCCCACAGTTGCGGGATCAAAAATCCGTGGATGTCGAACCACAGAGGCAACTTGGGCGGGGATTTCGCATCCTTCGAGGCAGGCGGCATGGGCGCCGGGATTTTGGCGACTTGGTCTTGAATGGGGTTGCCCCAGACGTAGGAATCCGTTGGATGAACCTCGACGGCGAACCGTAGTCGATTTTTGTCCATTTGGCGGGTGAGATACCCGCCGTCTGTGAGACCCCATTTATCACGCGGTTGGCCACGTGGACGAAGGGTGACGTGCCCTTCATTGAAGAGATTGATGATTGCGAGGATGTCGCCGTCCTCGGCGTGGTAGAAGACATCGTGAGAGCCGCCTTGACGAAGCTTGGTATCCAATATAGATGTTTTAAAATATGCTGCACGCTTGAGGATGGGGCAGTCGATGAGTCGTTTGCGGCTGAGAGAGGCCAGTACATGATCGGTCAGGTCGTAGTTGCGGCCAGGAACTAGTCGGCCCTTGTTACCCATGCTGATAACCCGATCGGTGAGAAGGGATTGGACCGCAGAATTGATCATGGATGAACCGAATGGACGGAGAGCTTCCTCCGCCTTGACCGGATCGTACGTTGACTCTGATGCGGCCACGTTGGCACGCACCCAAGACTTGACCACGTCGAGACGAGCAAGCTCGGCCTTGCGAGGTCCAACTCGTCCATGGTCAACATCTGAAGCGGGCACTTTGACCGCAAATGGAACATGAGCTAGCACGCCACGCTTGAAGTTGAGTGTGATGCCTGTGGTGGCGACGTATAACTCGTCGGCTGTTGGGTTGGCCTCGGGCCGGAGCTCAAAGATACTGTCGAATTCTTGCCTAGTCGCAGGAAGCAGCGGTGCCTTTTCCGAGGTGGAGAATTCGAGCTCAATGTTTGCCCACTCAACCAGCGCCGGCCAATTGTACCGACCAAGGTGGTTGTAATCAATAGGCGGCACCTTTCCTTCGGCGTAGGCTTTGAGGAACCGCTCCTGGAAATCTCGCTGCATACCGGCCATTTGCAAGCGACTCTTGCTAAGAATATTTCGAGCATGGTCTTGAATAAAGACATGGTCGTGCTTCGGAAACGCCGCTGACACAAGATCCCAGTCAATTCGAATGGCCTCAGAGCCACCTGCCAAGACGCGTACCGCAACGATAGCCACCATGATTTTTCGGTTCAAAGTCTGATCGAGCGATAGGAGACCCCGACGGCGAGGTCGCTGTACCCTAACATCATCCGGCAGGACATTGTCCCGATTGCGAATCGACGTATCGATCCCGTCGATACGACGACGAGCAGGGCCTGCATTGAAAACATGGAACGGTTGGGGCCCAGGCCGCAGTTCTCGAAGCAGGCCCATTCCCCGGGTCACCATAGAGCTCCTTGTCCGAGGCAGAGCGGTCTTATCGGCGACGAACTGAATATCACCTGAGATGCGCACCTGTTCAAACTCGCCACTAACGGTTTGGCCAATGTACGTCCCTGCAGTCTCTTTGTAGCTTTCGTCAAACACCTCCTCGTGGTCCAGTTCCCATCGGAGAATCCTATCGGTTTGGGAATGAAATGACGTCTCTTGGCCACCTTCGATCGTATTTGATGATGAAGCAAGCTCGGCTAATTCGCGGACGGAGTTTACTAACTCGCCGCTGGAGAGCTTTTTGGGCATGATTCGTGGTGCTCTGGCTGTTCCAAATGTGCCAAAGGTGCCAGAATACTCGTTGAACAATTGCGTCGGATGCATCAGCATCGCATGAGGTCCAATGGCCGATATGTGTTTGTACAGCCGTGCGCCATCAACCCTAGCCCTTTTCCCGTCTCCGACCAAGCCAGGCCGAGAGATCAGAGTCTGAGATTCTGAACCAGACTTCCGGGGCTGTCGGCGACCAATTTTCATGAGGCGCTTGGTGCCATGGTTTGAAGAATCGTGGGGTATCCCCAGCTGATCCTCCAGCTTCTTCAGCAGCTCCTTCTGAACTCGACGCTCAGTCCTCTGTTCTTCGGCGAGAACGGTGGCAGGCTTCTCCTGCAGCTGAACAGTTGCGCCTGACACCAGCGGTAAACAAAGTTTCGAAATACCACTTTGTCCTCCATATTTGGTGAGCTCCGGGTCCAGTTCCACATTCGGGGAGTAAGAGAGGCGCTGATCAGTCGCTGCCAGCAGCCTTCGTTGCATATCTTTGATCAAGGGATCGTCCGAGGACATCTCGGGCTTCGCCAAGATGGTTCGGGTCACCATTGCCCCCTTGGGACCTTTCCCACAGAATGTCAACTGCCGTAGCTTGCCAGCTTCGACCAAATTTCTAATTGCTGTTTTGACAGTCCGATTATCCGGTCGTTCTTTTTGCTTCCGCCTAAGCCACGCCGTGGCAAATGGGAACCAAATTTCAGGGAGGGAAGGGTAGGCACCACCAGCCTTTTCGATGATCTCCATGAGAATCTTCTTCCTCAACAAGCTCACGGAACCTCCGCGATCCGCCAGACCTTGAGCTAGCTTCGTCACATGGCCTGGCTTTGTTGCAGAAGGATTCAAGTTTTTGGAAAGCCAATCTCTCGAGAAAGGAGGAGGATTTCTGGTTCGCGAGGCGCTGGACGGATGAGCTGCCGGACTTGTTTGCATATTTTTAGCGGGTGTTGGCTGGGCTGGAGACGCCGTGCGAAGCCTTTGGGGTGTAAGAATCCTTGCCGCAGCTTTCGTAGGTTGTTGAATAGCCGCATCAGCCGGTGTGGTGCTTCCAGGAGCAGACTGTGTCTCTGGAGGAACATCCTGAGAAACCACAGACAGTGAACCGGAAATCTCTTTGTCAGATCCCTCAATGCGCGGCTGCTTTTTCGGTCGTTCTAAACTTTCTTCGGATGTTGCCGCAACTTCAGAAGTTGAAGGCTCAGTCAAAGCGACAGTTTGCCTTTTCCGTGAGAAGTCGCGTGTTGTAACTTGAAGCTGGGCAGCTGGCTTAACATTCACAGGCGCAGTAGTGTCAGATCCACCCCCCACAGCAATGGGTACAGCACCTCGGCGGGCTTTAGACTTGGTGGGAGTGTTTTCAAGTCCAGCTTCCGCCTTCTTGCCTGCATCTTCCGTGTTATCTTTGAACCATGGGAATTGGGCAATTTTGTCTGATCTAAAAACAGCGATACGACTTCTCGCGGGACGACCCTGCCTTTTTCCTGCGGGTCTACGCTTGCCCTGAGGCGTAACGTAGACGCCCGGATTGGGACATTCATTGACTAAGACGTTGTATTCAGTCCAAGTCTCATCCATGCCCAGAGCTTCGAATCGCTCCTTCTCAGACAGCCCCTCCAACTTCACCCGCTTATTGCTTGCTCTGGGCGTCCATCGCACTGGCTGCTCCCACGTGAGATGGTCTGGAACCGCTGGGGGAATGTCATGGAGTTTCGTCCCATCGGAAGTGTCTCGAGCTGTGCTTGTGGCGGGACAGCTTCTCTCCATCTTGGACAAAGCTGATCGTTTGTAATCTCCCTTTGGTCGTGGACCCTTCGGTCGACCACCGTGTGGACGAGTACTGATTGGCGATGGTATGATAGTCCCGGCAACATGCTGTTGACCCATGTCCATCGCTGGATGTCAATTCCCACGTTAGCATGACAGTCAATGATGGTGACATGAAAGATAACTCACTGAAGTGGCCATCCGGCAACTGTACCGGCATTGGATCGCTGCTGGACAAAAGATACGTTGGTGGTTTGCAGATAGCGACCGCCTCGAAAAGACTAGCCTTGCCATCCTTGACGAGATTTCGAATGACAGTTGGCTCATGGAAGCCATATTGATCACGCTTTGCCTTTGCATCAACTGAAGGAATATTGAACTTTGCAGCTTTCAGCTTCGATGGAGGAAATTCTACTGCCTCCCATGACGCGTCGCCTTTCTCCACCATTTTGGAAAAATTCTGGATCGAGTAATGTACATAAAAGAAAATGGTTCTTTCGATGGCCGTATCCCTGAGAATGCCAAGATGTCGAAGATGCGGTGGCTGTGACAATTGCCAGCAATCGGTCAAACGGTGAAGTACATTTTCGGAAGGTCGACGGTAAAGGCTACCAAATAGAATCCGGTTGATCTCCTGGACAATGAACGTTAAAGTTAGAAGAGGTTCCTGGCACCATCTGACTACTGAAATATCTTACTTGATTGGTGATACCTGCGGTCCCGGCGCGATGCACGACATCGAACATCTGATTCCCCACGAGGCGATCTGGTGTCCAACAAGGTACAGTTCTTCCTGAGTCGATGACGGGTTTATCTTGTCCCATCTCAAGAGTGCCGTCATCTGCGTCAGCTCCTGCGCCATCCCTTGCATCCTCAATATCATCGTCGACGTCGGCCTGGTCATCAACACTTCCACTCAGTTCTCCGCTTGCCGCATTGAATTTGGCAAAGTCGGCTTCGGTCGGCTCCCGCAAAAGCATCACACAGGGATGATACTTGTCGTATTGTGATTTCGCTCGGACCCGCTTCAGTACGCCAATACGTTCATATTTGCGAAGTACCCGAGATAGAATGCGCCAGCGCCAACGATCATTGAACTCCAGTCGCTTCTTAAGGTCGTCGCGGGAGATGATGCCGAATTCCTTGAGGGTTCCAAAGAGCTTTTCTGTGAAGGCGTCAAAATCAATGAGCGGTCGAGCCCCCGGCCCTGCTGATGAGCTTTCCGTGGTCGATTCACCAGTTGCTGGTTTCAAGAAGCGGCGGAAAGTGACAAGACTTGTGCGGGCTGCCTTGATCTGAATCGGGCGCTTCTCGACGTAGCCCTTTTGCGCAAGAGCGTCGGTTCGCTTGGGAACCGAGCGTTTGTCTTGACCACTCAGTCTCACGAGATCTGTCTGGGCAATACCATTGGATTTGTGTGCAGCAATGATTGACAGCAGTAGAAACTCGCTCGCAGGTACTTTGGAATCGTCTGGCTCGTGGCCTGTAAGAGCGTACCACATTCTCTCTTTTGTAACAAAGATCCGGACGCCCGGAGAAGACAAGGCAATTTCATCCGGGTCTGACTCTGCACGCACACCACCGGCTTCCGCCTGCTGTAGTTCACTATCTCGCTGCTCGGCCTCGTCGAGAGTGATGCATTCCCAATCGCCGTCGGGTTTTACAAACACCTCTGTATGACGCATAAGCCATGACCAGACCTTGGCCTTGAAACGGCGATCCACATTCTGCGTTCTTGCATCCAAGTCACGGCTTGTACTCTTGTAGAACTCTTCAACTGCTATGAAGATCTCACGCAAAGTCGCACCTACTTCGGAGTTAGCGGCGCTGATGGTAGATCAACAGACAGTTGCATGACAGGTGAGGTGAGGCAATATCAAATTGAACACAATTCCATGAGAGAAGCGAATACATTCGGTAAGCGCAAATACGAATAAAAGCGCTTTGCGCGGGTATCAAGCGGGATGTTGCTCGTGCTCTTTCATGCACGTCAAACTGCCAAGGTTGAAACATAGTATTGCATGTATATTCTGTGCCGAGTAAAGTGGGTCTAAAGAATATTCAACGCAATATACACACCTTGACTGCCGCAGAGAGCGACCTCGTTCAGCAGGAAGTCAATCAGCTGTTGTAAGCTGGGTACCATGCTTGCGTCCTGGCTAGAAGATGCGTGCTAGATTTTTGCCATTCTCGGAGGGAGCAGAGGCTTTGTAAAGAGAGATGCTTGTGAGAGGGCTCAGAAAATTTTGAAGCGAAAAGTGTGAATCGAACGCGGGTCACTCTCGTGTCTCTCTGCTCTCGACATGAAGTCATGTGACCATAAAATGGACTTCCGGTTGTGGGTGCCTGATTAGTGAGGCATGAAACGGATGTGCTCTATCGAATCCTATCACGAGTCACGAACGTGTTACAGTTTCTACCGGATTACCACTATATAAATAGTCGCAGTTCCAGTATCAGCAGCTAGCTTTGCGACTAGATTTACATCAGGCTCCTTGGAAAAAAAAAAAAAAAAAAGAACAGTCGCATGGTCATGTAAAAGATTGTGATTTGTTGCGATCAATATCAAGTTGACTTCAAACCGGCGTTGTGCTGGACAGAACATCATTGCGGTCTTGCAGGGCAACCTTACTACTCCCATGAGTCGCGTCCGCAGTCTGGCATTGCTTATTAATGCGTTGGAGAGTGATTGGCTGTCCTGGGAGTAGGATCCGTCGCTGTCATAAATTGATCATCCGGCCTTGATCTAGATCGATCATCCGCCGTCTTTCGAAGGAAACAGCCGCCACGTCAAGCATCTGAGCTCTGAGATCTGCCAGTTAACTTGCTTGCGGCTACACAAGTATATGCAAAAAAGTGTGCACACAAGCATTGCATGTAGGAATTAATCCAAAAATGTACCGCAACCGTGCAAGGCCCCTCGATTCGCGGACAAAGATTATAAGGTTCTGATGTTCTGCTGAATAAAAGCTGTTTGAACACGCTATGCAGCGTTGTGCACGAGGGCCATGTTTAATTGCCCTTGGCATGTACTTCGTTCTCGTGACTGAGATATTCAACGCCCGAGAATGCCAACCGTGGAGGGTTTGCAATAAACTAGTAGCTTGCCGGACCTAATCACTGGCTGATCGCTCTCGGTGGCGACCACCCGACAGAAGACCTACCCAGATGATACGATGGAGCCTCGAGTGGCCATGCTGAGCATCCCATTCCCTTGGCTGCTGCATGGACCTCGAGCGGCGAGAATCAACATGGCTGATACAACAGGGAGCACGGAGCACAGTGAGCTGTGTGTCAGCCGAGATGGCAGCTTGGTCATAGAAGGGTGTATCGCAAATCACGCACTGTAGCAACGCTGCAACTTGTTTAGTTGTAGATATAACGAGGTGTAATGTGAAGGACACAAATTGCTTGAATGACCGTAGGGGGAGGAGGGTGATATGTTGTAATCGCTCCTAAGAAACGACTGCATGTCTTGTTGTGTCCACTCGGCGTGGCGAAATGTCAAGTTGGGTTGGGAACGCCATGTCCCAAATATGGCAACGAGAACAAGATTCACCAGTCACCACTCCGCAGTAGGAGTCGGTGCAGATCGAAGTCTGTAAAGAGTGGAGACCAAAGGACGAAAGACTGCAAGTCGTACGGTGAGCCTGTCTCGGGCGCGGCTTATGTTTAGATGACATCACACGACCGCCTGACATCAGGTACATCGCACGTCCGTCAATTCTGCGAGGCGGTCGAAGTACCAACCGGTCCTCACTTTGTCGTTTCCGGCGCAAACCTAAATTCAAGAGGTCGAGTTGATGAGGATTGCGCGGCCAACTGACCGTCGTACTTTTCCTCCCCGACGACTACCGCTACAACAGTACAATACACCTTGAGAAGATTTCCAACGCATCACCTCTGACAATGAACCCATAATCAACCGGACCATATCATATTCACTATTCCCGTTGACTTCGGCAGGGGTATAAGCAAAGCATCTCGCCTAAGAGTCTGCTCTCCCGAACGTTTCGCCTTTTCGCCACGATGACCTCGCACATCGAGGAAGGGATTTCCTCCAGGTTACCTTCCGAACCGCCTCCTCTGCCATACTCGCTCCGCACTCGCAAAAAGGCGATTGTCATCTTCTGGACAATCTTCATCATCGACACCCTGGGCCAACCGCTGATTCTATATTGGACATTATGGTATCTCACCAACCTTTCACATAATCTGGGTATGTCACAGGGCAGGACTTTGAGTTCAACATCGATTCCGACCCGGTCGCTCGTGCTGGTTGAGCAGCCAGGCTAATATGGGGGGACAGTGTTCTCTGTGGTCACGGCAGCAATAGGCGGTGTTTCGGTCTTCGAATACTTCTACCGATTGTACAACCTCCTTCGCAAAGGGTCGAGAGCGCGGCCACTGAATGCTCGGTCGTCATGGGTATGTGATACCGTCCGGAATCTTGATTCGACATGTGTGATCCATTGGTACTGATACATCCCGCAGCTCGACTTCTTCCACATCAATTTCACACTTGTCTGGCTCATTCTTGCTGTTGAACTCATTGTGTAAGTTCTCCATAGGAAACGGAGCCTGTCGGCTCTGGATGTCAGTATCGACGTAGCAACCAGCTAACTTGACATAGTGGGAGCGTACCGCATGAACCTTATGGTAGGTCCTCAGCTCGTTTCCGCGTCGTCTGCGCCATTCGACGGTCGATCTCTCCCTTTGAGACTTGTATCTGACAATCTTCAGTGCGCCTCATTGCCATGGTCCTGCCGACCGTCATGTTTTACTTTGGCATTGTTCACCTGACACTCGATGTCCTCCGCATGATGGGTTTCAAGGCCCCGTTCCGAATCTCGTCAACCCCCAAAGGAGCCCCGATGCCGACTGCACTGTATGCATTGATTGAGGACGTGGTTGCCGTTGATGGAGGCGGAGGCCAGATCTATCGGTATGCCTTGCGCACTCGATACCTGTCGAGCCCATACTTCCGCCGGATGCTGTTCGAGATGAACTGCTTTTGGAGTGGTGGCTCAATCATCTTTGCGGCGGTCATTACGGCTCTCGTCTTTACCCTTCCCGAGCCGGTCGCTTTTACAGTAAGTGTTGCTGGTGCTTCCGGGTGTGTCTCGAGTGTGTGTTTGTGTGTGTAGGTTATCTGACACGTCTTGACTATAGCTCGGCTGGTCATTGCCATTTGCATGGGCGGGTATCTGGACGCTCATCACCATCCCCTGGGTGCAAAGTGACCTGCGCCGCGAAAAAGAAGCCTGGGCGCAAAATGTTGGACAAGGGGGCGAGCCTTGCGTGGACCAGGTGCGGGCGCCTGCTGCCCGTACTCGTTTCGCCTCTGTTCAGGAAGCGATACCGAGCATCTTGCCCTGGTCTCGTAACAAAGAGATTCCGCCATCCGTACCGCCAGCGGCCCCCTGTGATATTGAGCGACTTCCCCCCAAACCTGCCAGTCTGCCGGACAGCACCCCGGCCGCTACTCTCGAGAATCAACCCTTGGGTCCCGAAAGCCCTTCTCAGATCGAAGGAGATGAATCCACCCAACATCCCATGACGTCAGCAGATGAGCGCGGGACGGCTGTCGGCCATCCGACCTTGTCGAGTGAGAAGAACTAAACCCATCGATCGCAATCAGTCATTCCACTCATTGTAGTCTCTCGTTCTGCGTCGAGAATGGACGACAGTCTCCGTCGAGACACCCAAAGCAAATCAAGCGTGACGGCACTTCTTCATTGACCTGACACGGCCTGCGGCATGCGACAGCAAATGCCCGGTTCTGATTGCAGTTCAGTCTCATGCTGGACCTTGGGGAATCTCGAGGGCGGTGTCTTGCTGACCGACGATCTGGCATCGCGGTCGTCTTCCTTTTTCACTTGTTTGCCTCCTCACATTTGGCAGTTATATTTCGAGCATAGATACCCTCGTCTACTTCACAATTTGATGGCTTTGTATATTTTCATTGATGGCGTTCCTGATTCGGTTTGATAGCGCATTTCTCTATTATGAATTTCAAATCAATCGGTGTCGGTGTAGTTGCTACGTTGCTCTTCATCTATCATGGTACGATGGAATTTCCATGGGCAGGCTTCGCAGTTACTGTACAGTGTACACTGTCCCGTGTCCCACTGTCCAGAATTCAGACTAAAGTATGACCATATGCAGTAGGACTGGGAAGGTATGTGTCGGGTTTCCACGTGTGTGGGCCAGTCTAACCCGTGACCACCCAAACCCCAACGCAGTAGGTGGTAGCATCTTCGGGGAAGGGTAGAATCGGGAGAGGGCTGCCTGAGCACATGACTGTCCAAGTGTGTTAGTGGAATCTTGTGACCGACCGACCAGCCGTCCGCCTTTTTTGCTCAGAACTCTCATCATTACTTAGTCGAACAGACCTTGTTTTATCTGCTGCTCAACATAGAACACAGGCAGCGAATCTTGAAATCTTGAGCCAAGGTGGGTTCTTGTGGTCTTGAGGAGTCCACTGTCCACATATGTAATGTGATGATCATAGAGGTCCCATTTTTCCCTCGAGTCTGAGATGAAACACAGACTACCTTGAGGTCCATCGAGGTATCGACCCGCAGCGGCGGATCCTTATTGACCGCTGCCTGTGCAGACTGCAGAGTGCAGAGGCACAAGAGTACTCATTTCCAAGACCTCAAGGAGGGGAGAGAGGAACGCTTCAGGCCACACTGCCAGAGGCAGAGGCGTGAGCCACACAAGGGCGCATGAGGCTGAAAGGAGAATGCAAAGGTTCCTTGCCAGCTACAAACCTACGCCACGTCAACCCTCGGCAAACGACATCAGCTGCCAAAGCTACCCGTGCCGGGTACTTTTGCCCTTGCCAAGGGCTTGGTGTGGCGGTGGGCAGAAGGAGAGGCCTTGCTGATTATACAGATTGGATGGATCATGACAGCGATGATCTTCCCGAACAGGTCGGTGATATCTTTGCTCGGTCTCGATCACGGTCATGGTCATGGTCATGGTCATGGTCATGGTCATGGTCACTACGGTGATGGTGAAGCCTTGGCTGGTTGAAAGCTGGCAATGGGCGCCACTAGTAAGGAGGAACGAACTAGAGGCTCTCCATGCTCCGAAGGTTGCTGAAGAGTTTCCATACCTCCTCGACTCCTCGGCTCCTCGAATCCTGGCGTACCCGCCATCAGCTTCTCCTTCCACCATCCGTATTGGGTTTACCAGGCTGGAGGAAGGCACCGTTAGCGCTAAGGTATTTCCATTCAATATTGTACAAGAAATGGAAGTGGAAACAAAGACACCCAAAAGAGGGTCACTGACAGTAACTCAGGGAATGGAAAATCTAGAACTCACCCGCTCGACAGCCACAAGTAAAACCAAAGAAAAAGAAAACCCTTCCAAATCCACTCGTGGTGGCTCCACTCATCTTTATTTCGCTCAAGTTTCCCGCCCTTTTTTTTTTTTTTTTTTTCTTTTTTGGGCGCGTTCCACCCGTTGCACCTTTTCCCACCTTTTCCCACTCCCTTTTTCCATCTTTTGACAAGTTTACGGCTGGTCCAACTGGTGCTTTTCCGCTGTATGAGCCACTTCGACGGAATCTAGATGCCTACCGAGTTCTCTCGAGGTGATGGTCTCATTCGTCCCGAGTGGGACCTCCCCTCCCCGGATCAGAGGCATTTTTCTGGTGGCTTTTTTTCCCTTAAACTTTTTCCAGCGTTGACCGCCCCTCATGCAGGCTTTTTGTTTCCGAGACGCACTCCGAGTCCTTGCTCCTAACTATATAGAAGCCGTACTTTCTCCCACACCCGTTCCTGAATCCGATCCCTTTCTGAGATAACCCCCCCCCCCCCGGTCACTTGTATCAGTTCATTATGTCGGCTTTCATCCAGTCAAATGTGTCATTCCTGCCATGCCTGATCGTTGACCTCTAACATTGGCTTCGAAAACGTGATTCCAGTGCGCGTGCTCACGGTCTGTTGGAGGTTTCACCGCCATCACCTCCTCACGGCACTCAGGTCCCTCTCCCAGCAGCCAGTCTGAGGCGCCGCTATCTACTCGTGTGGTCTCGGGTTGCCGGCGTTGGTCCATCAGACGCATTGGCCATTGTATCGACTGCAGACCGGTCTATTTTGCAAAGTCGTCATCAACATTGGACTCTCTAGCAGTCCTGTATATTCCGGATCTCACCTCCCACCCCGTCGAACATCTGAAGACAGTGTCCACCGCACACTCAGACTACCCTCTCGAGACATCTTGTCCAAGACCATTTGTTTGCCCGAACAATCGATTGATCATACGAAGCCTCGAAGATGTCTCCAAACCTCTTCTTGTGCTTGCGCACTCTCTTTTGCCCAACTTACTGGTTCCAAAAAGGCGAGCGCATCGACGGCAACGTGAAACGCGAGCAGCACTGGGACAGCCCCGTCCCCGGCACCTACAAGTTCCTCCCCGGCAAGGGCTGGCATTTGATCAAACGTGATGACAGTGATCACCAGGAAAAAGTGCCTCAGGCCATCGTCTACTGCCGCATTCTGCACCGATACATGTTCGAGACCGAGCTGAATGATCGATGCCGCTGGTACTCGGCTCCGTTGCATCGGGGCGCGGCCCCCGAAGAGCTCCGCTTCTTCCTTCTGGATGACGGCATCCATTGGGTCGCTGGCTGGGATGCCCAAGGCCGATTCATTCCTGGCCCGTACCCGAAATGGTACCTGGATGAAGACGGAGTGACCATGCACCGTGGCGCCTCGCCCTGTTCGAGTGCCACTGTGTCACGATGCAGCAGTGTCATTGCCGGCAAATCTGGTTGATCAAACACAACGTTGGTGACCATTCCAAGCGTCCCTCGTCACCATTCACCATTCACCATTCACCATTCACCATTCACCATTCACCATTCACCATTCATCGCTACCACCTTCTCAACACATCTCACAACATATAACACCTTACTTTGACCACCAATATTCTAATTCCTCCGGCCCTCGTCCATCCCCACGGAGGATGTTACCCTCCTAACTCATCCGGGGGCAGCCACATCTCTTGATTCCCTTCTCTTTCAGCTCCACCCTTTGACAGCGTTTCAGCGTGTCAGACCATTGTCGTCTCGCAAAAGTGCTCTTTTCTCTCCGACGGAGATATGACTGATGATGCTTTTGTTTTTGTACCATAATATCTACCGGGGCGTCGGATCATTCTAGAGCATCCCCACTGTTTGGTTGAATCAATATTTTACCTGATCTCTACATGCATACAAAATACCAAGACCACGAAAATTGTCCCGCCCATCTTAATCATTCAGGAAGAAGACTTTGAAAAAATAGCGCAATCTACAACTTCGCCCCCGGCTCATTCAGAAGCTTCTCCAAACCATCCCGAACCTGCCTCACCATCCCCCCCTTCCCCACGCGCATCGTCTCCCTCAACACAAACACATGCGTATAAGTCCCCACCATCTTGACATCCTCCTCCCCCTCCCGAAACACCCCAATCTCCCACGTCACACTCGACGACCCCAACTTGGCCACCCGCAACCCAACCTCCAACCGATCTGGAAACGCCACCGAGGCGAAAAAGTCGCAGTGCGTCGAGACAATCAGCCCGATTTGATCATCGCCTGCGTCCAGCGTCGATGCCTCTGGCTCTTGTTTTTGGCTGGAGGGTTTGCCGGGGAAGTTGGATTTCGGGCTCGGGTTCTTGGTGGATGGGTTGTTCACGCTGAAGGGGTTGCGGCCGCAGTGTTCGATTAGGTAGGCGTTGGCGATGGTGTCGAAGAGGGCGGTGTAGACGGTGTTGTTGAGGTGCGCGTACATGTCGTTGTCGAACCTGTGCCACATAGCCTCGTTAATGTGAATGTCATCCCAGAATGAGTGGAGGTAATGTATGTACTGGACCTCTAGTGAGTACCTAGAGGTCCGTATCCACTCATGTTGGATTCAGGGCGACACGCTCGTTGAATCGCGGGGAGTCTGCGAGTGTTTACCATCTGGTCTGATGCACTTGACGATATCCATAGTCGCTCCGCTTTCTACTCTTTTTGGCCTGGAGATCTGAAGATGCCATGTTTTGCGGAGGTGGGGGAAATCAACCACATGTGTTTGTTTTGAGAAGAGTCTGATTTGGTGGGTGAGCGCACGACAGCCTTTGAACCTTATGCGACGGGCTACTCCCTACTCCGCAACCTCGGGGACTGCGCAGATCAATACGGACGTGAATGAACCGAGGTCGGCGGATCGGGTCACAACCGGTGTGTTAGGTAAGCTTTTGGCTGTCCTGAGACTCCTGACCTTCCTGAACTCAACGAGCTTGGCGCCAGTGAAGAGAGGTACTCGATGAGTCGATGGATCTTTGAAGAGGCTGTGATTTGTTGAATCAGACGGGCGAGCTTAGAGTTGCAGAATTGGACTATGAGAAAGTATCTAAGTACCGGCAATGCTTAGTGCTTGTACCTTACCATGAAAGGTCCGTCGTATCTACATCAGTTACCTGTTATCGAGGACGGACATCAACTGGACAATCTCCCGTGCCTGGCCTCATCAGCAAACCTAATCGGAAATTTTTTTCCCTCTTCCGCGTGTGTTTGTACTCCGCGACTCGTGATCGCTCACGACTACTTGCGATTCTGCGCCCAACAGCACACTCGCAAAGGCAATCCATCGCTTTGAAGACCTTTGTACCTGCTATCTCACTGTGACAAGCCTCGCTGGCTCCCTCAGCTCGTATCACGGCCTATCTGCTGCGGCGAGGCAAATATCCTCTGCCCTCCCCGCCCTGCATGGCCCTCGTCAACGTGGACACCTCACAGCAGGTGCCCCCTGCTGAATCGGTTCTGAAGACTCCCGACGTGCTGGTCACCCCATGCGATCCATGGCCTGCGCCGTATTATATGGAACGTGGACTCCGTCGGGTTCGTCCGTATCACTACACCTACAATACCAACTGCAAGGAAAGATGGCGGGGTAAACGACTCGAGGATATTTTTACCTCTGAGTTCCGGGATCGCGCCCCGGAGTACTACGTATGTTTGCGCTGCCTTGTTTGCCCACAGATTCTTCTTTGAGTCTAACTCGAATCTAATGCGATAACCCTCACTAGAGAGCTGCTTTGGATAAGGGCTTGATCTGCGTCAATGGCAAACCGGCAGGCCGTGACACCGTCATCAAGAATGGCCAAGTCGTCTCGCACACTACGCACCGCCACGAACCTGCCGTGACCAGCGCCCCTATCGGGATCATCCACGAAGATGACGATCTGATTGTCATCGACAAGCCAGCCGGTGTGCCTGTTCACGCCGCTGGTCGATACCACTACAATTCAATCGTCGAGATTCTTCGCGCGGAACGCGGCCATGACTGGATTCCCCGGCCTTGTAATCGGCTGGACCGTCTGACCTCGGGAATCATGTTCATTGGCAAACATCCCAAGGGCGCGGAGAAGATGGCGGGTGCGTTGCAGGCACGTACGGTGCAAAAGGAGTATGTGGCTCGAGTCAAGGGCAGATTCCCCGACGGGGTGATTGTCTGTGATCAGCCCATCATGCAAGTTAGCCCGAAGCTGGGTCTGAATCGTGTGCGAGCAACGGGCAAGTCGGCCACGACCAAGTTCCGCAGACTCGCGTATTACCCTCCCCAGGCGGCGCTGGCATCTGCCGAGAAGCATGACAGCGCCGCCGCCGCCGGTGATCGTGCCGTGACGCCACCCCCATTCTCGCCAACGAGGACGATGGCTACAGTATCGTCCACTGTTTCCCCCTGACGGGTCGCACACATCAGATTCGTGTCCACCTCCAGTTCCTGGGCCACCCGATCACCAACGATCCCATCTACTCGAATCGGCGCGTATTCGGACCCGAACTGGGTCGCAACGAAACCAGCGGGGACCGCGATGATGAGATCATGGAACGACTGCACCGCATGGGCAAGACCGAGGTCGCCGATACAGTCTCCTACCGGACTCATCTGACTGCGGCGCCAAACGTCCCACCAGGCACTGATCCGGCCATTCTGGCCGATATCATGGCCCGAGAGCAACAGGCGGCCTCCGACGAATACGAAAAGCGCAAGGGTGAGCGTCTCTCGGGGAAATTCTGCGACGTCTGCCAAACAGAGCTCTACACAGACCCGGGTCCCCACGAACTCGGCATCTTCTTGCATGCAGTCGCTTACGCCGACCGGAATGGAAACTGGGGTTATCGCAGTCCAATGCCGTCCTGGGGTCTTCCTCCCCCGGGGTGCGAGGGACCCCGTGAAGTCCCCGACTGGGTACCCGTCCCGGAGAACGAGGAGATCATATACGGTCACGGCACTGTGCCCCCTGAAATTGGCGTCGACGAAGATGAAACATCTTTGGCAAAGCCAATGTCCAACACGGTGCTCCTGACCGGTGTGGGTACCTTGGACTTTTCGGACCCGAGCTATGGCTTGGCTGCTGCTGCTGCTTCTAAGCAAGGGGAGCCGGAGACCTCAAGACCGGCCAATCCTTGATTGACACCACAACAACAGCATTACCATGTATGAAACTTGAGACTGGATTTGCATATACAGCCCTAAAGCAATCGAATTCATCAGCTACCATTCATGTCCCAAGCAAGACGGGCAGTTTTCCTGTTTACCTGTAAAGGTACCAGTAAAGACAGTCAGAGTCAATTGGAGGTCGCAAATCACTAGCGGTAAAGGAAGTTGGAACTATACAAATGAGTGAACATTTACCATTCCAACCACACACACACGCGTCAAGACAACAGTAGACGTCTATGTAAATATTGACCATGAAAGAGAAAGTCCTGAAGCTCCATTAGTTCTGGAGGAACCTCTCGTCCGTTCAAAGTATCTGGTTAGAACGCCACGAATGGGCAGTGACGGGGGGTCAGAGACTGTTGAAGGTGTGTTGAGTTCTACGAGTGACGTTTATGTGCTTTGCACGTTACGCGGTAAGAGGTATGTATGTGAGCGGGCTATGCTGTTCTCGCGTTTTTTCTGGGCGCGGGGAACACCGGACATCCAGGCCTGGTGAGTAACTCGATGCTATTTCTCGTGGACCAGGGAGATTGCAGGTGGATGATGCTTTGATCGGCACTCATGTTATAGAATACAGAGAGGTCGACGAGGCTTATTGAAGTGAGACATGGAAATAGTCGGGCCGAGTCGCATGCCACTATTCGTTTCTCAACGCTGCAATGAATAGCCGTATACTTTCGAGTTCATCTGAATTTACTGTCGTTGAGGCGTTCGCAAGGAATCGAAGGGGGGGTTTTTTTTGCAATTTTTGATTGTCATTCCAGAGAAAAGGTTTTAAATTTCTCTCTTTGCTCTATCCGCCCAGCACTGTAAGACCAAGCGCGAGCCGCGCACGGTATGCCATGCACGATTCTTGGGATAAAAAAAAAATTCGTGATCGTCAAGATTGATTGTATCACGATCGGTACAATAATCCCGACCTCCCTTTCTCGTGCGCTCCTGCGATTGTATCCCACCGAATATTTGAGATTGAGGAAAATAAATGAAACTGAACTTTTTTTTAGAAAATTCCGATCCATCTAAGCCTCGGTGGTGACACGGCCCTTGGCGTTGGTGACCTTGACACCGAGAGCCTTGGCCTTGGCGAGGATCTCGACGCGCTTGCGGGAGGAAACGGCGTGGGCGATCCTGCGACGATAGGTTAGTCCGGTTTCCGGAATTTGAGAGTGAGACGGGAACACCAGTTGAGACGACACTCATCGGTAATTTTGACTCTTCATGTCGTCTGCGTCTGTCTGGTTGGCTAGTCTGGGGATAGAAATCCACGTACTCGGCAGCGTAGGTGCGGTTGTGCATCAGGAGAAGCTCGACGTCCTTGGGGTTGTGGACGAGGAAGGCCTTGTGGCCGGAGGGCATCATGTGACGGGTCTTCTTGTTGGATCCATAACCGATCTTGGGCCTGCAAAAAACGTTGGGTCAATCATCCGAATATTGACACGCGCAAAGTCGAAATGACGAATGAAAGTAGAGAGAAATCGTACATGCGAATGACACCACGGAAACGGCGACGGACACAGTTGTCAATACCCTTGGGCTTGCGCCACGAGGAGCCAACACGCATAAAGCGGTCGGACTGGTGGCGGAAGAAGGTCTTCGAGTCTGCACCACAGAAGAATTGTCAGTCCACCACTTTAACCCTAGTCGATTGCGAGATTTCGGTAGTGTTGATTGAATCGTTTTCGATTGCCCCGGATACTGCAATGCGCAATGCCTTTCGGTCGACCAGAATCGCTCCATCATCGTAGTCGAAGAGTTCGCATATCATTGTTGCATGTCGTGATTGGCGTATGTATATCTGCAGTCCTTCGCCTCCACATCTTCCTCCTCTTCAAGCGGCAATTCGTTCATTTTGTGGTGCGACCAAAAGAGCATTGAGCATTGAGCGTTGACCGTTGGCATCGAGGCATCGAAACAATCGAGACACAGGAAATGGTCGAAAAGTATCGGGAACGTACGCTTCTTCACGATGGGAACATGCTTCTTTGCGGCGACCATCTTGAATAGGAAGAAAAAAAATTCGTCAGTATTTCTTTCGAAGACGACAGCTGTCGATATCAAGTTCGAGAAACACTCACTTTGGCGGTTGTGCAGGGTCTCGCCGGGCGTTGGATAGTTGTCGATTCGGAACGTAGTCGATCTCTCGAAAACTTCACACTGACGCGGACGAGTGGGCGGTCCACACTAGTGCGCTTCGGGGGGAGTTTAGCGACCCGGGTCTAAGCTTATGTAATGGTAGGGTTTGGTGGTGGGTGAGCCCTGCCAAGGTTTTTTTTTTCTCTTTTTCGGGTTTAGACCTTTGGGTGGATCAGCCTGTATGATCACGTGACTCATCACATGTGAGCTTATGAAGTAGTTGATGTGGGTCCCGAGCGAGCGGGCCAACCAGCCGAACGGACCAACCGCGTCAAATCGCGCCGAGACATTCAACCTTCCAACTTCGGCCACACCATGCCATCAAATCGGCAGGTAAGGCTCTCAAAGTTGGTAGAGCAAGAGGGTAGGATTCAACTCGCAATTAAAGCCCACCAAGAGAGCCAGATCTCATCCGTTCGCGCAGCCGCAAGACGTTATCAAATCCCGCGGACTACCCTAGCCAAGCGTCTTGCGCGTAGACCTGCGCGCGTCGATACATGCGCAAATTCGTCTAGGATGACTCAAAACGAGGAGAATGCGCTTCTAAAATGGGCTCTCTCTCTCTCAAGTCTCGCGGACCTGCCCTTATGCGTAGCCATCTACGAGATATGGCGAATCTACTGCTTGCGGCGCGTTGCCGGTCTCCTGATCAGCCTGCCGATCAGATTGGTAGAGATTGGCCTATAAGATTCATCCAACGCGATCCAGAGCTTCGTCTAGCTCGATCTAGGAGATACGCTTATAAAGAGGCTCAAGATGAGAATAATGCGAATGCGAATGCGGTGGTTTGTACGTCTACCCCGATGCCGTCGCCAATTTCTATACTAGACACCAGATCCAGTCAGATAGAGCCGGAGACACCTAGGACTACTGATCAGGTCAAGAGGCAGGCCCGGTATTTTTCATCCGCTACAACCTAGTCCGACTACTCCGACCAAAGGAAGATTGGATAAGCTTACAGAAGGATATGCTGAGGCGATAATTCAAGGGTTTATCGATCAGAAAGAAAAGGAGGCTCTACTCGGCGCTCGCAGCCAACGCCAGAATAATGCAAAAAGCATCAAGATCGAAGCGCCAACCTCCATACCAAGGAGGACTATCAATTCAGGAGGCTTTTGATCTGTTGGACGCAAGAGATCAGCCAGAGAGGGTTGAAGGCGCAGAGATGCAGCCGCATGGTCAACAGGCAGGATCGCCTACTACGCGCACACCAAGGAGTCCGCAGAGGTGCAGTGGCTACAGAGAGGTTGGCCATAAGGTTAATCGATGCCCCAATCGTCAAATGCAATTAATTCGAAAAACGCAAAGTTCATGCGTTGATGCAGCTGGTCCATCTGGCTGGGTGGCCCGCTCGCTCGGGAACCACGTTATAGCATGCGATGAAGGCCTCACTCTGACTACTAAACTTGGTTAAAGATGACTGCGATTCAGTTGTTGGTCTATTATTGGCTTTTCAAATATTCCCAAGTTCTGTCTGCTGGATGTGTTTGACCCCGTCGTCATACTCTGCTCCATCAACACAGTCATCACTCCTTAACCTGGAAATGTAGCATCATCCGGTCACCATTCTTCTCTCCACTCTTCAACATCTGCTCCAAAAGTGACAGATCTGCCAACGCTTCTTCTGGGGATTGTCTGTTCACCACGGGCCCTCCACGGAGAATGCTCTCAGCAAATTCCTTGACTTCGGGGACCACGCCTTTGCCGTCAAACTCAATGTGGTGAACCTCATCATTGACCATGACGTCGTCGAACTGGATTTTCACCATTCCCTTTTCGCATTCGAATTCGAAAAGACTGTCGTTGTACCGAGATCCCCAAGAAAGTGAAATGGTGCCCGTAGCTCCCAATTCCGTCTGAGCGACTGCGTCAACGGTGTCAATGGGCGGCAGGTATTCTTGTAATTGCCGAGTCTGTGCAGAGACAGCCGTCACTCGGTCGTTGGGGCCAAGAATCATACGGAGACCGGCAAGCATGTGCACGCCTCCATCCAGAAGAAATCCGCCCTGATAGCCCGGTGACTTGCGCCAGGGAGTCACTGCGGTGGTTTTCATGGCGCTGTTAGTGACTTTTCTGGTTGATGTGTAGAACTGGCCACTTACAGTAATACCGATTATCCTGTTGAACCAGACTCTGCACATTCACTCTGAACCGTCGAACCTTCCCCATGGCGTGTACCTTCTCCGCAGCGAAGAGGAACTTGGTCATGTAGCGGAAATTCTCCCCCACGGCCCAGATCCGATGGTGCACGTCGCATGTGGTCTGGTACCATTGCAGAAGTTCTCGCGCCGCAATGACATCCTTGGCGATAGGCTTTTCCGAAAGCACATGTTTACCTGCGAAGAGAGCTTTCTTGATAAAACCAGGCTGAACAAGGATCGGAAGACTATACATGACTCTCGGTCAGCGGGTGCCCTGCTTTTGATGGTCGTGGGTCACATAGGGCGCGTGAGGAAGCAAGACGGACGTACCCAATGATCACGGCACCGATATCTGAGCGGGCCAGGAGGTCCTCGTAGGTTTTACCATGGCCAGAGTCGTCAGAGTAGAGGTCACAATTGGGAGCTCCGCTCGCGAGATCTCTCGCTGATTTCAAGGATCTGGAGTAGATGGCCTTCAGGGCAAGGTCGGGGGTAGCTTGAACCGCAGGCTATACGGTACCGTTGGATGTATAATGTAAGTCAAACGCTTGCCTTGTATGGAGAGAGAATCCTTGCATTCTCGCAGGTTGTATGGCTCACCAAATGCTGTTCCTTGGCAAAATTGCCTGTCAAGGCAATTAGCTGAATGCTTCAAAGCTCATCGGCCGGAAAATCCAGACTGGCGCATATAGAAGCTTACCACTGCCGATGATGGCGACACCAATTGACATCTTCTATGACGTTCCTGAGTATATGACTGTATAGATGAATGACCGGTGATCAGACAAAAAGGGGCCACGGTGTCGATGAGAAGATACTCTCGCTTCTCTGGACTGCAAGGTCAATCGGTCGTACAAAGCAGGATAGCAGTCGCAGTCGCAGCAGTGACAGTGCCATGACCAAGGTGGGGTTCTAAAAACAGCCCACCGGATGTTGGTTCCACGTTCATCCAGTTTTGACTCTGGACAGTCGGGTCGAGGAAGGTCCAGCCTTGGGCCGTTACCGACCGCTCAGTAGTCAGTAGTCGACCAGTATCGTACGTAAATTGTGTGAACTTCGATACTAATGACTTTGAGCTTTGCAGGCAACCCTTTGAAAATTGGTAGACCAAACATCTCGGCAAGTGATAGCATTGAATGCTTGCCCAAGTCAGTTGGTATGGGTGGAGTCCTTATTCTGACATCCATTTCTCTCCGCATGCCGACACGATCTACAGGTGAAGCAACCACGCGACGACAGGTCCTCGTTATTACTTTTCTACGTCTTGGTTCAGTAGTTCCAGTCCAGTGCGCGCAATCTCCACATGATCTGCTTGAGACAAAGGTCAGAGCTGACGGGTCATTGCTACCAAGAAAATGCAAACCAATGCTTTAACAACGATTTCCAGAAGCAGTACATTAAAAAGGCTATGAGCCATGTTGATGTCAGCCGCTAAAACTGCGAGGCATTTGATTGAACAGACGGACTCATTAACATGACACCAGCATCAAGCGAGATTCGACATCAAAAGCAAATCCAAACTCCATCATGCAAAGGGAATCTCCACGGGCTCTTCGAAATGGCAACCCGTTCAATAGTAACGCCGTATAACCGTGCAAATTTGTCACCAGGGAAAGACTGGTGTATCCGCATGTCGTCTCAATCATCAATCAGTAGGTCCCATCATCGGCTCCTAAGCCATGAGCCCTTATACGTTCACGAGAGCCTTCAATCTCTCGATCCGAGCCACCGCATTCTCCAACCTTTCCAGGCGGGCTCGTTTCTCATTGTCGCGACGCTCGAGGACCGCGACTCGCTCTTCCAATTTCGCACGTGCCTTGCGCTCCTGCGCCACCATCTCGTTGGCCTGACTGAACAGCTGCACGGTCAACTCTTCAAGCTCCGTGCTGGCCTGCGAGAGTTGCGACTCGGCCGCTTTGCGCAGGCTCTTTTCGCGATTCAGCGCATCTTGGAGCTCAATGGAGTTGTCACTACCAGCCGGAGAAGCTTCTAGTTGTGATGGATTCGTCAGAGTCGTTGGGGTCTGCGGATCGCCCGCTGCAGAAACAGTGGCACTCGCAGTTGGTGGCGCGGCGCTGGCGCGGCGATATGGGAGGAAAGAAGTCAGGCTTGACAAGCGACTTTGCGTGGGCTGCGCTGTCGCATCGAGCGAGCCATTTCTCTGGGTCGGTGATAATGTCTTCGATGAGTGTGAGGAGGAAGAAGGGCGAGAAGAGGTCTGTTGTGATTTGTTGTGTGCAGCTTGAGAAGCGCGCATGCGATGTAGTTCGTCCTCGTAGTCGGCTAGTTTGTTTGCTGTGGAGGGAGCGAGAACGGTCAGTCAGGCGCCATGCGCAGCCCTCCCAGAGACAGAAAGAGACAGAAAAGCGCAAGAGATGAACCCAGTTCGGCACCTTCGGAGGACTCACCCGCCGTGGCTGCGCGCACCGTCAACGCCCGTACTTGTCCCTCGAGCTCCTCGATGCGCCGCTGGGACTCCATCGCATTATCCGTGCTGCTATTTCCCCCGCAAGCGGGACACGGTTCTGCAGAGATGATCTCCACCTGCCCCATGGCCGAGGCAGTGCCGATCAATCGCGTCGTAGTAGCAGGAGTTGCCAGTGTGGAGGTCGAGGTCGTGGTCGTGGTCGACATATTCTTCTCGGGGGAAATCACATTGAGGGGTCGTTCGGTCGCGCGTCTTCACGAGAAGACCAGGACAGGGACACGATCAAGTCCGGCGGATCGCTTGGCTGGTCACACACAAGTACTGCACGTCACGGGGATACTGGGCGGTGTTGTTGCTGTGATGTGACGGAAGTCGGCTCGCAGGTTGTATTTATCGCTGAAGGCCAGAAAGAAAGAGGTGGGAGGAGCAAGAGGAGGAGGAGGAGGAGGTGGGAGGAGGAAGAGGAGGAGGTTGACCGAATGCGCCAGGACGGATGAAACCTGGATGCACCAAGTGGTTGCTGGCCCTACAAAGGGGGGACCCCATTCTTTTCGATCTGGCGCCAATACGGCTGATTGTCCCCCTCCTTTCACTGCCCGTGGCCAATGGCTGGAGAGCCCAGTCTCATCCTTTCTTGGATGTTTCAACCTCAAAATGGCTGGAACTTGTATCTGGAGAGGGATTCCAACCTGCTCCCTTATTACTCTCTTCCGGTCGGTGGTGCTTGAAGAAGTAGGTCGTTGTCCCTGCATGGCCCCTGCTTTCATGCTGCATCCAGCCATGCCACTTTGTATGGACGTAGAGTGAAGCCTAACTCTGTACTTGCAAGGCTGATTGACAGTCCACGACGCAGGATGGCCGACCCAAAACACTCAGTTCCGAGAACAGAGCGCGCGGTTTGGGAGCATGGCTTCTGGGACGAAAGATGATACGAGCATGATCTTGAAGTAGTAGTATGCATATGCAGTATGCACAGCTCCCCTTCCCGTGGAGTTAAAGTACTATGCCCTAACTAAGAAGTATAGCTCAAGGGACTAGCATTGGATTCGGCAACCAGGCAGATGACTGCTTACCACATGCGTTCGGCAGCTCTTGCATGCATAGTCATACTACGATTAACTTCAAAGTATTAACGAACTCAACCCAGGAATTGTCTTGTCCTGGGGCTGGACCCGAATCAACCGACCCTCTCCAGCCTCTGAAACACGTCGATGTGGGCCCCGGCAGAGCCTCCCGTCTCCTGTCCGGATCGGAGATGTTAATCTATTTATACTACTCTCAGCTTTCACGATTGTCCCCTTTCTCTTCACCCTTGCGCTTTCTCTCTCTCTCTCTCTCTCTCTCTCTATCTGAGGACTATATGCATTGGACCTGCACCGACTCGCTTCTATGTTCTCTCACCCTCCAGCGCTCATCAAGCCCATTGTCAACATTTTCCGCACTGAGCTCCAGGTAGCTGGACTGAAACGGGCGTGACTCGTGAGAGAATAATAGACAGGGTCCATTTCCATATATGTAGATGCATGTCAAACGTAACAACATGCACACCACCTTTGATCCGTCTCGTCATCTCCATCTGGAATAGCAAGTGCCAGGCAGTCGAGTCCATTTCTATGGAACGATCTACGCGTCGATCGAGAGTGGCCTCCTGCAGTGTCGAGGCAAGAAGAGTAGTACCCTGTACGCGGGACACACAGAGCAAAGCGCGTTTTCTCTGGGCAGATATCAGTCATGCTGATGGAGTTCCTCTCTCGGTGCTGCGTGGTTTGCGTGGCCAGGACCAGCTGTTGCCTAGTGTTGAGACGTTTGGAGGTTTTCCCCTGCGTGGGCAGGTTTTCCCCCTCCTTCCTCTCCCCAACTCGTTCCCATCTATTGCTGCTTCTAGTGTAGAGACGGGAGTTGCACTTGATAGAATAAGTAAGCAGCAAATGATACAGCATGCGTGTCTTGAGCTCGCAAGTCACAAGAGCCTGGGTTGTTGAAGGAGGTGACGGCTCGGTGATTGAACGAGATGACTGGAGCTCCTTCTCAGCTGGAGACATTTCCATACTCGCTAAATTCTCTCCGAAGAGGCCTCTACGGAGATTCAGGTCCACGCGTGATGCAATTTACATTATGCGACTATTGGCAAACGTTCAGTGCAGGCCAAGTCACAGAGGCACAATCGGAGAAAGAACCGAGGTGAGAAGAATTGAAAAGTAAGAGAGATCTTCATTTCGTGTCAGCTGTTATGATCAAGGGCAGAACCCCCACACACGACTCGAGAGGCATGGGAATAAGAGCTAGATAGCGAGCAGCGCGACATGACTATAAGAATAGCAGGTAGAGAGAAAAGGGGGAGGGGGGAGGAACACGGCGAGAGAAAGGACTTTTCATACTGCCAAAGAATCATCAAAGCGAGGACTAGATGTATACCCGGCCATCTAGCCTCGAAGGGGAAACCAAGGAGAGGAATAGAAAAAACGATCATGAGCCGCAATGGAACAAAGGCAGATAACAAGAAAATATCATGACTAAAAGAGTCATGATCAGAAGGACAACTACCGTCGGGAGAGAGCCGATGGACAAGAGTCGTTTGATCACGCCCAAATGGAAAACAAAGGAGTCGGACCCGCCATGGCGACGGAGTTTGGGACGGACGACTCACACGACCCGATGATCATCCAGAACGAACCAGAATCTTCATGCTAGGTCCAGTGTGCTCGGCAACCTCCACCGGTCGCTCACAGTAGTTCGGACTCAAAGCGACGGTCGCGTCAGGGTATCCAAAGATCAATTAGAAACGGCCACCGCGACGGCCACGCTTCTTGGTCGTATCGACAGTACTCCATCCATCATTATCATCAGCGGTAGCAGCAGCAGGGGCCTCGGCTCCTCGCCAGTTACCATTGGCGGCAGACTCCTTAGGGGTCTCCTCGGAGGTTGCGGCAGGGGCTGCCGTCTCATCAGCTGGCTTGTCGGCAGTCATGTTAGACTCGTCCTCGTTGGCCCGTTGGAGGATCTCAAAGTTACCGCCACCCTTGGGAGGCTCGATCGAGTCCTTGTTGGAGTCTGTGCCAGCCTTGGGCGCCTTTGCTTGCTTTTCGGCCTTTTCGGCCTTAGCTTTGTCCTCACTCTCCTTCTTCTGGCGAAGGGCAAGCTGACGGCGCTCTTCAACCTCACGCTCGCGGGCAGCGGTGTCAATGGGCCGAGCAGCACCGAAGGGACTGGCCTTGGAGTCGCCGGCGTCAGCGGCGGAAGCAGGAGCGGCGTCGGGCACTGTGCGCTTCTGAAGGTTCAACTTGGGACGGGCGGCGGGAGCAGCGGGAGAGGTGGGCTCCTTAGGGGCAGCGTCAGGACGCATCTTGGTGCGCCATTGATTATCCATCTCGGCGGCGGTGGGAGTCCGCTCGGGACGATCAGGGCGGGGAGGCCGAGAGCCATCTTGAGAGCGGCCTTCGCCCCAGGCGGGCGCACCACCCTCGGTGTTGCGGGGACGGCCACCGTCACGGAAACCACCCTCGCGGAAGCCAGCGCCGGCTGGCGGGGACAGAGGACCCTTGCGCTCCCAGTTGCCAAAGTCACGGAATTTACCATCAGATTCGAAGTTGCTGCGGCGACCACCTCGCTCGCTACCGGCGTCAGATGCGGCATCCATATTGCGACCAAAGTTGGAACGATCGGGCACACGGCGCTCTGACGGGGCAGGGGGGAGGGGACCACGGCGGGTCCAGTCCATCTCACGGGGATCGGCGCGGGTTTCCTTGGCTAGAAATCGGTCAATCAATTTTTTTTCCTGTGGTAGGTAGAGTGATGGAGAGGACTTACGAGGCTCGGCAACGCTGGTGCGGATGGTACGGCCCATCAAGTTAGTACCAGACAGATCAAGAGCCTTCTGCAATCCAGCGACGGTCTCGAACTCAATGTAGCCGAAACCCTTGGGCTGGTTGAGGTTTCGATCCTCAACAATGCGGACATTGGTGACGCCACATTCGGCGAAAAGCTCGGTAACGTCGGCGGCGGTAGCTTCGAAGGACAGGTTTCCAATGTGTGCGGTGAACGGCGGCTCGGTGGGAAGGTCGAGAGGCTCACGAACGGCATATCCGCCACGAGTTTCGTATCCACGGCTTTCGAATCCTCCACGGGAGTCACGATCTATGAAGTAGTGGTCAGAAGATGCTGCCCAATGCTGTCGCCCGGTGAGAGAGGTTCAGTTCCATACCAAAACCGCCACTGCCAAATCCACCATAGGTCGGGCGGTCGTTTCTTCGCTCGGCGGGCACTATTGTCGTTAGCAGACGTGTTCTGTCGAGGAGTCTGACAATTTTTGCAGTGGTGATCTGGACATACCGTTGGCTGTGGGAACTGTTAGTTAGCCGATCAACAAGCGCAGGGACTCCACAATTCTTTCAGACTTACGCTGCTCCATGCCAGCCTCCTCAGACTCATCAGCCCAGCTGAAGTCACCGGATGGCTCTGAGTGTCGTTAGTTTCCATGGCTTTTGTCGCGTCTCAGTCGGCCAAGTATTGATAGAGACACTCACTGTCGACTCCCAAGAACTCGGTCAGATTCATCTTCTGACCCTTGGCCTTAGCGGGCGCTGGGAAGACATTCTTGTCAGCTCAAGATCACCAAAGTGACAGCCATGGTAGAATAAAGGTCTCAGATGAGGTCCTCATCCCACCCTTTGACGGAAATAATTTTGTTGGAGGTGGGGGTCGCTCAGCTCACCCATGATTGCGGTTGCGATAAAACGAGAAACGCGCCGGTGAAATTGTGCGCGCTTCTCACTCGAAATGAGGAAACGTAGTCAGAGAAGTGAGAATCAAAGCGACACCTGGGTGAGAGTCCAGGGGTCTGTTATTGATGTTGTAAATTGAGGTTGAATATCAAACGTCAAGGCGTGCAGATGAAAACTCCACCGTGGAAAAGTTGGAGGGGGGGTCGGCAATGCACACAGAGTGTCCGGGTTAGTTAATCCGTGATGGTTTTTTAGTGGTGCCGCTAGCCCCAATCGGATCCCCCACTGTCACCGCGGGAGGCGGTGGGCGGTAGGCTGGAATGGTCTTGCACGGATCTATAAACACTGAACACGCCCATCGATAATCCTTGCTTGCGCCCTTCTGTGCAAAGACCTTTGGGTGCGCGAAGGGCGAGCAATATGTAGTTCTGAAATGGGAAAGTCAGCCTGCTGTCTCTGGAAATGAGGCTATTATCTGACTGTGGGTCCGTTTGTATCAGATCAGGAACGCAACGGCATTCGGCACTCAGGCTACGCGAGATAATTGAACCGCTTAGAAGTACGAAGTCGAAGTGATTGTTGTCACTCGGCTTTGGCAGCTCAACGTGAGACAACTGTGTAATTTTCTGTGATATGTACGGGTACAACCCGAATGAAAACTTCAGCTCACTTTCCTCATCTACCTACTAGAAGGCATTTCAAAGCTGGGCCCGTAGAGAGGCGTCTGAAGTTGTAATCGGCCTGGACTCTAAACTCACAAAGACTCTAGGGCATCTGCTTTCTTACAGATGGAATTTGTCGAATATAAATTGTCTCGGATGAATAGGTAGCAGCTTGCAATAACCGGGATACTGCACAGCTACACAACATGCGTGTTCATCGATGTTCTCTCATATTACACTTGATGTAGGGAGCTCTAGAAGCCATCAGTATATGTTCAGCAGTTCCCAAGTAGATATACCATGGTAGGTGCTTACCGCAGACTAGAACGTCAACAATTTCTGCGTAGGAAGTATGATCTTTAGGGATCTCATCGAGCGGGATGATGGATATGAAGCAGCATAGGTACCTAGGTATTTGCCAGCTTTGATCACAATTTTAATACGCACTCGGGCAGACGTTAACTAACACGAGTAACTGTACCAACAATGACCTTGTAAGTATCATCGACTACACATCTATGGGTGAATGTTGAGATCATTCATTTGTATGCTTCAGACCACCGCTAAAAATATATACCTGCCTCACATCCATGATTCTCGTCAGACTAGGAGAGGGACTACCAGAGGAACGAGGGTGATCGCAAAAGACATGGTATCTAAGCATTAAATGGGTATCGAGATACACGGAAGAAATCTATGCGCATTAATATTATAATCAATGGGTTGGGTTTCGCTCACCAGGAACTCGGCCAGCGAAATGTTCGGGATACCAGGCTCGATAAAGGTACCTGGTAACTTACTAGCTGATGTCATGAAATCATTACATAAGCCAAGTGCAGTGGACGGTTGCCAGCCCGGCAGCCAGGTCCATCATGTCACGTGCCTGGTCTGTCAAGGTCCTCTCGAGGCAAGGGTAGAATTGAGACTGCGGAGTTGTAGATGCCAATGGAGTTGGGAGTATCCATGCTCTTTGATCAAAATTTACATGATGGACGCAACAGACCCTCCACCTGACGCTGGGGTTGCTACATCGCCAGTGGCTGCGGTCAAAGTGGGTGCCCTCTGTGGTGAGTTCTTGCGGCCGCTCCCTCTGCATTGTCGATTTTTCAGTATATTCGATGCGGCTGTTCCGGCCATATCTGGTGATTGTTGTTGTTGTTGCTAAAGCAATAGCATAGGTGCATCTGGCCTGGTCTATGGCGGGTTTTCTGGGGTGATCCGATCACCCAACCCCATGATCCATTCGTTGTCTTGCGGAATACATTGGTTCGCATGTGGTTCGGCATACTGGTGTAGGTTCCCGCTCGTGTTTCTCTTGGCCACGAGCTCATGATCTCATCTTACTCAAAATGGTGTAGGGATGCGAAGCAATGTCATTGCGCACCACTACCAGAACAATGCGTCGCCAAGGGAGCGAGCCCATGTCAGCGCCCTCTGCGGAGGAATTTCCGGCGGAGTGGTGACCAGGATGATGGGTACGTCACCTGAACCTGGACTTGTGCTTCTTTCACGCTCGATGCACGTCTGTCGACCACTTGGTTTCTCTAATGCGCTTTCTTTTCTTTTTAGGCGGTCGGTTGATTCCCGGCTTGGTGGTCTTTTCCTTGCTTGGCTATGGCGGGCAAACGGCCTTTAATTATGTGGATGGGTGGCAGATGGAGAAGGCGCGAAACACTCCAAAACCATTTCTTCAACGCATGGCTGAGTCCAAATGGATTCCTTTCCGACATCTGTCTGATCAGGAGTATCGGGAGATGCTGAGCGAGAAGCTACTAAGTGTGGAAGCGGAGATTGCTCTCCTGGATGAGAAACTGGAGGAGTTGACAGAAAGCCGTCCCCAACCTGCGTCGAAGCAGCCGAGCGGCAAGGACTAATAGGTTGAGATCAATGTGGTAATACATATTGACTAGTTAACCTACGTGCGCTGACTTCTTATGGTTCGTTTAAGAAAAGCTCACAGCCTTACTTAGCTCATACCCATCGGTTGGAAATTCCCAGTCCAGGACGCAGGTATCGCGCGATCAGCTCGTGCTCATTGCGCCGCGTAATCATGATCCCTAACAATCTCCATTGTACCTCTACCCCCCCCCCCCCCTTTTTTTTGTTCACTACTACAGTACTGTTCAAATTCCCACTTGGTCAAGCTCGAATGGTCTTCTTGTCTCCTATTGAATATGTGTCGAGTTCAGTGGCCCATGCCCCGCTTTGCCCCTGTTCTCCACGTCGAAAGTCCCCCAGCGAGGCCGAGTGCGCATCTCCGCCTAGTCCTACTACCGAATTTAGTGTTTGACAAACTTGAGGTCTACCTGCCCGACCGAGCAGCACGTTCTATCCCGGCCGTTCCAGACTCGAGGTGATCACTTGTACCGTCACTGCAGGGAGCTCAAATGTGCACAAGACATTTCCCTGATCACCCTGATCTTCTTGATCAGCCCTCGATCACGCTTCTGGACCCGTTCCGGCTTGGTGCACGGCATTAAGACCCGGCGCCTACCGAATCACGGTTCGCTGATCAGCCTGGTGGAACGGCCCCACGCGTTGCGCTGCCGTGGAAGTCCTGAGAGCCTCAGCGCTGCTCAGTAAGCAATGAGCTTGGAGAGACCTGCGGGCACACGAGCATCGCGCATCGAGTCTCGGAAGACCCTCGCACCTTATTTCCCTTGTACATGTACCTCTGCCTATATGGGTATCCTTTATACAGCATATTTATACACTACACAAATATGCAGTGGATGTAGTATCGAATTTCTCACCAACGGAGAGAACGCGTGACGACTGGAAGTTGGAAAGTTACCTTATCAGTCCCACCCTGCTGAGGTTCCATATTGACGTGGCATTTGGGGTAGTACTCCGGGTGTACAGGAAGTACCCGGAGAGGAAAGTCTGGGGTCAGATAGGAGACAATGGATACAGTATCAGGCATACTGTAGGAGGAAGGGAATAAGTGTTCTGCAGGTGGTTGAGGTGATAACGTGGACATTGCTATTTAGAATCAGCACCACTTGTTAAAGTTGTTACTCAGACGAGTTGAGATGTACTCCTCGTTCCGCTAGATATAAAGGACACCCGCTGTATCGAATCAAATGCATTGGAGGGGCCCCAGAAAACAATGGCATTCATGTATGCCATCGTATCAGTACAGAGTCCACGGAGTGTCCAACTGTACAAGTGTACATACTACATTGTACAATGAACAATCCCCCGGAGAGGCCCTGGATGACTGAGATCCGATGACGGTGGCTCGCATCAGATCCTTGATGGGATGGGATGAATTGGCGGCTGCCAAGGCTGATGGAGGGACAAGAACTGGCAGAGGGGGGCAGCCGTGGAACACTTCGGTGGTTCCGCTTCCAGCGGGCTACTGACTCGGTCTCCGGCACGTCCGAACCATGAATCTGTCTTTCTCCTTTCGGACTGCCGAACCTCGACCTTGAGCTTGGCCTCGAACTCCAATCTCGGCGTGCTTCTGATCTCGCGCAGCAGTATGATTGATGTGCATCGCATGCTTCGTGAGCGGATTCAGGCACATCGGTGGTGCTTATTACTGTTCTAGATCGCCACACGGCCTTCATTTCTTTTTTTTGAGGGGGGAGCACAAGGAAATCGCGTCTTCCTTTGTCGGCCGGACGCTTCTCCCCAGCTCAAATTCCATGAAATCCCAGGTTGCGGCAGGATCCGACTTGGAAGTTTCCCTCTGACTCTGATCGCGACTCTGTCTGCCTGGGCAATAGCAGATCGATGCTCGACGCTCTGCGACGTGTCTTTGCTCGACAGATCAGCCCCTGCTGATCGCCCGTCGCAATGGCCATGTTCAATCCAACTTCGATCCTGGTAGCCTTTCTGCTACTCTACCTCTTGTCCTTCTTCGTCTTCGCGCTCGTACGCATTGCGACCGGGGTCTCCATTCAGCGGATCGGCTACTTTTCACTCCGCCGCATCGCATACGCTCCGAGAGAAGGAATACACATTGAAATTCGAGGCTTAGGGTTCTCACTGCACCCGCCCTCGTTCGCCCAGCCAACATGGGTCAGCATTCGGCTGACGGACCTCAAGGTCACCCTCAATACGGCTTTACTGTCGAAAGCGACCCCCGACACCTCTCCGGGTCACGAGAAGACACCCAGTTCCGACGCCCCGAAGGTTAGGAGCCTGGACACCTTCCCCACCGACGGCGCGCCCCCCGAAGCATCTGCCCCGAGAAGTAAGGCATGGGGGACTTTGACACGGATCAAAGAGCGCCTGAAAAAATTGCATCGACAGATCAACTGGCTCGCCCTCGTAGACTTGTCTGCGGTCAACACCTCCGTTCACTTTTTGGACGCGGGTCAAATACAAGTTGGATCGCTCGCACTCTCCGTTGATACCCGAAGCAAGATGGTGGAGAGGGGGAAGTTGTTCCGCCGCAAGAAGGACATGTCCCGTGAACAACGACCTGCCGAATGGATCATGAACGTGCAAAACGTGCTTCTGGTCGTGGACGGACGGGAGCCCATAGAGATCCTCGATCACGTAGGAGTGAATCTGCATGGTCTGCTCTACAAGGAATTAGATGGACTCCGGGATGCCTCCATTGCACTGAAGATTGGACGACTACACATACCGTACGACGATCTGACCGCCATGATGCGCCGAATCAAGTCAATTCAGACCGCTGTCAAGTCCCCTTCATCAGAGGAGACGGACGAAGAAATTTCCTTTGCGGACTTTATCGAGGAGCTGGAGAAGCCCGGTCGCCGTGATGAGACTCTCGTTCAAACTGTCGCGGACTCCAAGGAGTTTGCCAGCTCACTGCTCCGTGGCATTCAGGAGATACAAATCGCCTTGAGTTTCTTCCGACTTTCGCGTGGTCTTCAATCTCTTTCGGCAGACCAAAAGCCCGTGTATCTCAATGTGGTGTCTCATGAGATCGGCATCGATCTTCATCGCATGGACCAGAAAAGTCCGGAACATCGCATGTACTTTCAGAAAGATGACATTGCTCACCAAGCCCTGCTCGCCGTAATCGCGGTCTCAGTCAGTCTCAACGGCGACTCCGGTGAAACAGACGACGTTCTCTACATTCCCATGGCGACCACGACAGTGAAGACTACCCTGCCTTCGAAAACCGTGAATGCCGTCGAGGACGCGAACCTGGAAGAACGGAACTCTAATGTGCTCTTCGCCAATTTGGTCATCACCTCGCCATCATTGGACATGCAGCCGAAGCACGTCTCCCGTCTTCTCAAATTGGCCGAATCACGAGCATCTGGCCCTCGTCCTAAGAAGAGAAGCAGTCCGTCTCTGATATCTCGACTACTCCCCAAGGCAACCATCAAGCTCTCCGTCCACGAGCCAGTCATCCGGTTCGTGCTACCTATATTGAATGACAACGACTCCTCCGATGACTACAATCTCCTGATTTCGTCCATCTCGTCGGTATCACTTGATGTTGAATCGTCTCACTCCTCTGACGGTGGTCAGCATTATTCCCTGTCATCGATTTATCGCATCGCATCGCACAAATTCTACTATCAAACTCCCGCAGGTGACAAGCACAATTTGCTTACCACGGAAAACTTGGAGCTCAGATGTCACCTCAACGCAAGTCCGGAGCTATGTGTGATCGCCTCCGGGTCCTTGAATGACTCTTCTGTTCACATGATTAATAGTGATGTAAACCGAGGCATTCGCGATGTTCTCGAGCAATTCCGCGCGCACTTGCAGCCGCAAAAGAGAGCACCCATGCCGTTTAATGAGAGTAAACCTGGGTTGCTGCGGAAAATTCCTCCTTGGCTTTTGCAGTTCTCGTTTGAAGCCACTGGCTTCAGTCTAGAGTTTGCGGGTGTTGACGATCCCGTCTCCCCAATCTCCCGTGGCGTCTCTTTACAGCTGCAGAATTGGACAGCCGAGTACAAAGCCCAAAAGACCGAACATATCGTGGGAAGCATTGCCAGACGCCGCACTTCTAGTCATTCGATCATTGGCGACGAGTCGCCGTTCAGGTTCAATCCGACATCTCCTCCAAAGAAGACGCATCGCGGTGCAACCGATGGAAGGCGACTAGCGCTACACGCAAGAGGATTTGACGGATTCGTGATTGAATCGGACGACTACCTAGAACCCGAGCCTTTCTTCTCAATGCCTCGATTCGAGATTGCGCTGAGCACCCATAGTGACCGAATGGGACCCGTCCTGCACGTCACGTCGATGTTCAAAGGAATTTACCTTCATTATTCACTCTACCGATTCTATTGTCTTGGGGTCGCAGTGTCTGTGGTTCAAGATGTGCTCACGCCCCTGCCCGACAAAAATACGGGAGCGGGCCAGAGTAAATCAAAGAGCTCTGCCAGCATTTCCATGCCTCCCCCTCCGACATCTCCGACCACCCCCAAGACTGAGCTTGTTACCCTTGATGTCAAGGCTACTGTCGTTCAGCTGAAGATGACCCTACCAAACGATCCTGCCATGCTGTTCCAGATTTATGGGCTTTCCGGGAGATCACAACGCCTCTCTACCCCCAACATCAAAGCCAACCTCGTACGTGTGCATGCCGAGGCGCCCAAGCTCAAGGGTATCTGGGCTCGAATTGGTAGCATGAACAATGTGAGACTCGATTTCCGGAAGATAAACATGAAGCATGGAGCCGGCTTCAGCGAGGAGAGGTCCATTGATCTTTGGGCCGATTTCATTCGACTGGGCGTCCCCCATCATATGGTCATGCATCGGATTTTCGACAACTTGATCAACACATCAAAAGCTATCAAACAGCTACACCATCGGTTCAAAACCCGAAGCAAGGAATTCGTTTCGCTTCGTGAGCCAGAGGATCCGAAGAAGGTGCCCAGACTCACATTGCGTAGTAAAGCGCTTCTTTTCGAACTCGAAGACGATGCCTTTGAGTGGAAGCTAGGCCTCATCTACCGGATCGGACTGATCGAGCAGTATCAACGCGTGGCACGCGAAGAGGCTTTCTACTTGAAAACGCGCAAGATCAAAGAATCTGACCAACGGCGGGCATCCTCGCGCTTGAGAGCTAGGTCGAGTCATCGAACTCTGCGGAGTGAGCGCACCAGCCAAGATACCCGACGAAGCCGCAGCGCAGATCCCCGACCCAGGCAGTCATCAGCGAACCGAGGTCGTACCCGCAAATTCCGATATGACAAGGATGGGGCTCCTTGCTTGACATCTGAGCACCAGATCCCGTCTGAGACTGCTTGGAATCGACTTCAACAACATAATGCGCAGGTCTGGAAAGAAAAAATCGACGCTGCACTCAAGTTTCAGGGAACATCCATCAAAGAAGTTAGAAACTTGTTCTCCGGTGCCGATGAAGCTCCAGATGATGTGGAAGAGACTGAAACTATTCTCGCACTTCCCAACAGACCCGGATTATTATCAGCCTTCATCAGTGATATTAATCTCACTATAGACAAACCAAACTTCCCAACCGCAGAATTACCCGAATTCCTTCATCGTATAGGGAAGGGTATGCCTAAGTCCATGAAGTATGGATTGATGATCCCGATGAGCTTCAATTTGGAGATGGGCGAAGCGCGGGTCAATCTCCGTGACTACCCCCTCGATCTTCTTCATGTGCCTGCTTTGCGACCAGGACAATCGCCCCGTCTACCGAGCTGGTCATTGCGAACCAACTTTGTGATAGCAGAAGAATACCGAGATCAAGAATCTGCCCGACAAGTATCCGTTCAACTGGTCCCGCCAACAGAGAACCCCGATGGCGCTCGCAGCAGTCCGTTCTTTCTCAAGGTTTGGCGATCTGTTACACCTGTCAAGACCTACTCGAACCCGGTCATCAAGATCAACACCAGCCTTCCAACGAGTATCTCTTGGGGTGTCTCTTACCAACCGGTCATTCAAGATATGATGAAAATTATCGAAGGTTTCACCAAGCCAGAGGTTGATCTCTCGGAGAGAGTTGGATTCTGGGACAAGATCAGACTGAGTTTCCACTCTCGAATCAAGGTCTTGTGGAGTGAGGATGGTGATGTCCATCTCCGTCTCAAAGGCTCTCGCGATCCTTATGTGGTGACTGGGTTCGGAAGTGGCTTTGTCATGTGCTGGCGGCGAGACGTCAAGTGGGAGATCAACACTAGCGACAACCCCATGGAGTTTATGAGTGTGACAAGTGGCGAGTACGTCCTTGCCATACCTGACTATAGCTCCGAGGCGCGGTTGTCCAACGAAACAACACAAGACGACCTCGAAACCAGTTCTGCAACAAGTGAACAGAAGAATGCTGCGCATTTCAAAAAGGTCATCATGAAGCTCTCAGGTGATGTGAAGTGGGCAACTGGGCTGGTATTTGAGCGTAATGTGGATTCCAGCTCCCGATCATTCACCTTCCGACCCCACTACGATGTTGTTCTCAAGAATCCCCGGTTCGTCAAACCTGAAGAGCGCAAGAACTACGATGCGTTCCGTGGCTTCCGCAGTGATCATATCCACTTGTCAGTCTCAGTAATTGCGCCTCATGGCCGAGATTGGACTGCCGAAGATCGTACGCCATCAACGAGTTACAACACAACTCACTTGAGTCCGCGTTTCTTTACCCATTTCTTTAATTGGTGGTCGCTCTTCTCCGGTATTATGTCTCTGCCCGTTCGTCAGGGTCCGCTATTTCCGGGTATCACCAAGACGAGCAAGAAGTTCAATCGACATCTGGCCACCGTGAAGTACAAACTTCTCCTCGCCCCAATCTTTGTGGCTCATATCTACAAACACAAGGATCGTGAAGATTATTCCGAAGATGCAGTGACTGCAACAGGCCTCAAAGTTCGGCTCGACTCTTTGAAGCTGGACATTCATCAGCGGCGCGAACAGATCAAAACTCAAGCTAAAGGCCGTACCCGACAGACGAAGACGACTGCGATGCGTATTAATCAAGCTCTGATCGATCTGCAATCGGCTGATTTCCGAGCGGTGTCTGCAAAGATTGAAGGCACAAACCCCGAGGACATTGAGCGCAATCGAGACGACATCATCTCAAGCTTCCAGCAACCTGTACCATCGGTCGATCTCTCTCGATTCACAATACCCGATCATAACCTTGATTGGATTGACATGGATGACTTTGTCGAACCTGACTGGATCTTGCCCCAAGAGTCCAACCCGAGAACTCAAATACTGCCACTTGCTTTCACGCCGCGTTTCACTTATTTCAGACAGACAGACCATGAAGCCTTGGGTCCAGAGGAAACTGGCTATAGCACATTTGGGAATGAACCGACCCATGAATGTGTCATGTCTGAGACGAATGACCCCCGCCGTGTGCAGATTGAATTGGTCAGAAACCGACTTCAAACGGTTGAATCGCAAATACGTGACTACGATCGCATCATTGGCGAACACGAGCTGAAAGTGATGAAGGACGTTGACGACGATCAAAACTTGAAGTCGCAGCATGAGCTATATCTTCATCAAGCTGAGTCCCTTGCCAGACGTCGCAAATTCCTAACCTCCACACTAGAGCGTCTCGAGAGATATTTGGCCCGTGATGAGCGGACCCCTCATAGAAATCAATCCGGGGTTAGCACAAGCGCAAGTGAAACATCGTCTCGGGTTGGTCTGGATGGTGACTCTACGATGGATGGCCGGGCTTCCGGCCTCGACGGAGTCTACTCTTCAGCGGCAGATGACTTCTCCAGTGATTTCAACAATCGTTTCATGATTCACAATGTCCAGCTGAAGTGGAACAATTCCCTTCGGAATATCATCTTGCGATACAGTCACCAAGTGAGCCAACGAAGAGGATTTGTTTATTACATGTCTCGACGAGCTGTCAAGTTTATCCTTGACATTGTCGAAGAGCAAAGTAAAAAGAAGAAGAAGCAGGCCAAAGCGCAGAAATCAAGCAATTTGAGTGACCAGGATGACGAAGAAGTGGAGGATCGGATCGAACAGCTTTTAAATGATGCTAAGCGCTACGCCAATGTTGAAGACACTGAACCATCGAACTCGCGCAACGATTCTCGTCCACCCTCCGACAACTCGAGCGAAAACATTGCACCGGAGTTCACGCCTCAAAATAGCTATTATTTGCGCTTGATTGCGCCACAACTTCAGTTCATGAGCGAGAAGAATCGCAAGTCTGTTTTGATGGTTGCCGCAAAGGGCATGGAACTGAAGGTGGTGTCAATCATGGACAAGGAACGAGTTTCTGACGATGTCAGTGGCTTGGTTCAACGCCGATTCTCTCTCGAAATGGATGGGGCTCAGTTCTTTGTTGCAACTCAAAAGAACCTCATGGAGAATCTACAATTCTATGCGGGTAACAAGTACGGAAATTCGCCAGGTTCTGCATGGCCCCCATGGCTTACCCTGGAAGCTATGTTCGACTTTGAACTCAATCCTTTCGGGTTCTCCCGCATCGTTCAGAAGACGTCTGCCAGCCTCCGATACGACAAGTACAACAATCTTCGTCTGAAATACAATGAAGAAGTCGCCAAAACCCACACTGGGCCGCACCCCGGTGGCGACGAGACCAGGATGGATCAGATCAGTGTCGACTTCCCCCACTTCCGAGCGATTTGCGACTCTGCAGAATATTATTCGCTGTATATCATTGTCCTTGATTTGATGCTCTACAGCGAGCCTCTTGAAAAAGTTCGCAATGAAAGACTAGAGAAGATCATGCTCGCATCTGACTTTAGCGATCTTCGCGGCGCGCCAGAGGCGGTCTTCAAGCTTCAGTCCCGTATCCGGCAGTTGGAGGAGATCAAGGAGTACTTCCAGATCAATGCGAAATATCTCGACAACCAAGGGTGGCAGGACCGATTGGCACTCGAGCACGACCTCTCCATGTGTGAGGACGAATTATTTTTCTTGATGAAAGCAATCACCACCTCTCAGCGGCGCGCCGACCCTGGCTTCTCCAAGGATGATGGCGTTCTCAAATGGAGCATTTCGGCTTCGGAAGTGGTATGGCACTTGATGAGGGACGCATCCGCTCCACTTGTCGAGTTCCAACTCCGAAATGCCCAGTATGAGCGGACTGACAACACTGACGGATCCAATCACAACGTCCTCGCTGTTGAGCAGTTGAGCGGACTGAATCTGCTTCCCGATGCAATCTACCCTCAGATCATTGCACCATACTTGAATCAGCCTCGACCGCTAAACGACTTCATGCTGCGGGTCAAATGGCACCTCATGGAGGCCGTGGCTGGTATTCCCGTGGTGGACAATTTTGAGGTTTCCCTGTTCCCACTCAAGATCCAGTTGGAAAGAGAGCTTGGACAGAAGCTTTTTGAGTACGTCTTCCCCAACATGGGTTCTGGCGCCTTCGAGAGTGGAGGTTTTTCGCCTTTCATGATCAAGAACATGAAGCCACTGGACGCTTCCGAAGACGAGGATGACGACGAGGAAAGCAGGGCACAGACTGCCAGCGCGAGTCTTTCTCCAAACAGTGCCAATACCAACGGTTTGAACGAGGAAATCGTCGACGCGTCCAAGGGTCCGGGTTCCATTGAGCTCAGACTGCAACCGACATTGACGCTTTCAGAAGATGGAAGGTCAAGCCGTCACTCCACTCATTTCAAGGGATTGGCAGCATTACGTCCTTCGCGACATGACAACAACCGCTTGAATGTACCTGAACCTAGCAAAGGCCTTCCACGCCCTGCAACATCTGGCAGTCTTGCTCCAAGCCTTACCAAAAAGCGCTCAGCTGATAGTCTTCGTATGTTAACGAAAGCACCCACGGAGAGGTCCTTGTCAAGCCACAGCGCCAGCACCGAAGAGAAAGGGAAGTTCAGCCTCAACAAGGGGTCGCGCAACAAGTCCAAAGAGCCTGCGGATGATCTTTCCCAGATGATGTCCAGAGCGTCCAACTACATGGTTTTGACTCGAGTCAAGGTCCATGATGTGGTTCTTTGCTTGAGCTACAAGGGCAGAGGAGAACACAACCTCGAAGATCTTCACGACTTTGTCTTCCGGTTGCCTGTTTTGGAGTACAGCAATAAGACGTGGTCCAATCTAGACCTTGCCTTGCGCCTGAAAAAGGACGTCATCAAGGCTCTCATCTCCCATGCGCCTGCAATCCTTGGTAACAAATTTTCGCATCACCGTCCGTCTAAGCAACAAGTCAAGCGTTTCCGCGAACAAGCCTCTTCATCTCAGCTACTGCCGAGTTCTCAAAGCGTCAGGAGCTTTGATAGAAGTATCGCTCCAAGCTTCACTAGTCATGACTCGAATAGCGATTTTTCGGAATCGCCGTCGAGAAAGTCCATGCAATCGGCATCCTCGCCGTTGGCTCGCTCCGTGTCTCTGAATTCAGAACGTCACGACAGCAATGGCAGAACAACAGGCGACTCCAAGTCTGCTCATGAAGTCGATGTCGATTCCCGATGGGAGGTTCGTGCTTTCCTACCCCGACGATTCGATCCAGCGACAGACTGTCTTACTAAATGTGCAACAGGAATCACGCCGCTTTATCAATGACCCCATCAGACCTTTGACTTCCGGCAATACCTTCACAACCGTTACTGGTGCCGGCACCAACGTCGGCCTCAATACAACCGAGCCAGAAGATAGGTACGCAACCTTTACCCCGTCATACGAACAACAAATTTTTCTGACTTGAGCTTTCGCAGTCACAAACGTACAAAGTGGAACTTCGGCCGGAAGCTGATGAATCGCAAGTGAGCGCGCGAATTCACCACAACATTCTCCAGGCTCTGCCCGGCTTGCCATCGAGAGACTCCATTCCCCCCTCCCCCCCATCCCGGGACTTTCCATCGTCCCTATTATCTGAGGGTATCAAACCTAAGATATTTCTAATGTTGTGCAAATTACACCTCCGAAGGGCTCCAATGTGCTTCTAACCCTCCGTTTACATTTTCTCCTGTGAAATGAGATACCCTCTTCATAAAGCGAGCCCTCCATTTGCTTTTGTTTTTCCTTTCGAAACCCCGGTGCACTGATGTGGCATATGTCTTCCCTTCCTCCAAAAAGTATCCGACTCTAGGACTCTAATTACCTTATGTTCTTTGCAAGTACTCATTATACCTTTTTGCTGTACACTTCACCCCCCTTTTTGCCGGGGTTACATAGACTTGGTTTGGCGCTTGTTATTCTTACACTTCACTGTCTCTAAAATTCTTTACTTTTTTTGACTCCGACACTTCAACTTGTACCCAGCAGGTATGAACAAGTCTTTTTCTCCGCTTATTAGACCTTCTTCGTCCGCTTCTTATGCTTCCCATTTGCTATAATTCTATTGTTGGACGTGGGGTCTTTTCGGATTAGTGCGCGAAGCATGTCGCAGGGCTGTATCATCCAAAAAACGTGACAAGGTCGCATTGTCTACCATTAATTCCATTGATGGACCTGCACTGGGAGGCAGAGCTCGGGCATGATATCAGGTCTCTGCTTGTCTGGATTATAATTTACTTTGGCGCCTGAGAACAGAAAAAGCGAGAATTTCTCAATCTCAAAAATGTGATTGGTGGTGTATTGATCACTGATTGTAACGTACATCAGATACTTCTTCCATGCCGTCTGGCTAATGCATGTCAAATGATCATTTCCTCGGAGCAAGAGTGCCCATCCAACTCTGATCTTCTTGAAGCTTGTTCTCGCCTGAACTCCGGGGTACTCTTCTCCCCACCTGAGGTACCAATGCCTGGGTAAGCGCTTTCGCGTCTTGAATTCGGCGGATTGTCTCGTTCCGGCCTAGGATAGTCATAGTCTCAGGTATGCCTGGTCCGGGAGCTGAAGCCGACAACGCCCAGCGGAGATAATGATATAGTTCTTTTTTGAAAGTCTTATCGGACAAAGTGATGTCCGCGTCTTCGGTGGTGGAAGTGGTAGCGCTAGAACCATTGTACATGGCAATGTTGGCGCGGTGTGTTTCAATGTTCCAGTGGGCCGGCGGTACGAGAGTGAGGGCCGCGGCTGCAGTATGGAGCGACTGCACGGAGACCGTTGGGTTGTTAGTGTCTGATGTAGTCGTGGGCGTATAAGGAGGTCTCTCGATCTGAGTTTTGAAGAAAGTAGAATTACGCTTGGCAAAATCCTCGGCGGTTGTGTAGGTCTTGGCATCCACGCGTAATAGAGACGCAATATACTCAGTCAACGTCCGGCCGCGAAGAATTGAGTCCCTGGACATAGGGAGTCAGCCAAATTCGCTCGGTGATTCCCGATTGCCAAATATCGGACTTCAAAACTCACAGCTTCTCGCCGAAATGGTCATGCTGGACAACTTGGCATACTTGATCCACCATTTCATCGAATTGAGGACCACCCTTTGCAGCAAATCGCTGTGCGTGCGCTTTTTGAAGGAACCACAGCTTCTCGAAAGCAACGACCGTATTGCCACGAGTGATCTTGAGATTGAACTGGAGCATAACGATGAGCGAGGGTCGCGAGGTCCTACGCTTCCTGTTGTACTTACTAGCTGCTCGAGCTCGTCCAGATCAAAGACATCGGACTTTTGAGCATGTGACCACCCAAGCAGGGCAGCAAAATTGACCAAAGTCGTGGCAAAGATGCCTTGCTGGTCCTTGAATGACGAGAGATCGATATCCGCGTTTCGCTTGCTGAGTTTCTGACCACTCTTATCGACGAGAAGAGGGACATGGCCGAAATGAGGCGGAGACCAACCAAAGGCCTGATATAACGCGACGTGCATCGGTGTGGATGGCATCCATTCCTTCGCGGAGTTAGTAGATTGCCACTGCACTATGCATGCTAAGACTTACAGTCCCTCGAATGACGTGTGTAATTTTCATGCAATGGTCATCGACCACATTTGCGAGGTGATATGTGGGGAAGCCGTCGGATTTCATGAGAATTGGGTCGTCGTAAACACGATCGATCAAGTCCAGCTTGCTGCTATTAGTCTTGTTTTGGCCCGTCTTGCCGTAGACGAGATCTTTGAACATGGGATAGCTATCCACCCTCAATCGAACGACATGTGCCTCACCCTTCGCTCCTCTTTCCTCGGATTCCGCTTTAGATACGTCGAAGCATTTCCGATCATACCCGGAAGGAAGCCCTGCCTGGCTACGATGTCGCGCGAGTGCATCAAGACGGTCGGAAGAGCAGAAGCACCGATACGCATGCCCCCTGGAGACAAGGTCATTGGCGTGAATTTTGTAAAGAGCTGTGCGTTCAGACTGGGGTCGGAGGCCATTAGCATCTACCCGCGCAGGCCGTGGACGCTGAGATACCTACTTGTCTGTATGGTCCGAAAGATCCCCCCACCAAAGGGCCTGCGAATCTCGATCAGCCTTGATACGCTTCTTGGGAGTTCCATATAGCTCTTGGCAGTCCTACCCTCATCCCAGTGTAGGCCGGCCCATCGCAGGTCGTCGTAGAGTCGCTGTTCTGCCCCAGGGATTGTACGTTTCTGCATCAATCAGCACAGGTATCTGCAGACAGCATGGGAGAATCTCACGTACTTGATCGGTGTCTTCGATCCGCAACAGAAATTGTCCACCGGTGCGCTTGGCGAGCAGGTAGTTGAAAAGAGCAGTGCGGAGCGACCCCAAGTGAAGATATCCGGTCGGAGATGGCGCAAATCGCGTTCGTGCTGGGCCGTCAGGGAGGTTATTTTTTGACTTGCGCACATTTGCGCCAGCAGACGAGGACAAGGTTCTGCATTGAACACAAGTCCATGATCTGCGAGCTAGAAGCTCGACACGTAGATTGCGCATTGAAGTGGGGGTAAAGCGTGAGACGCGACACGAAAGCAAGCTAGCCAGAGCGAGCTGTTTTCTTTTTGCGGAGTTGCGGAGGTTCGGCAGCTCCGCGCAACTGCCCGACGAAATTTCAGTAGGCAACTTGGCGCGGTTCGCCAACCTAATCTCTCTCACATCTCGGGCACTTTCCCTCACTCACTCGCCCTGAAATATTGTGGCTCCGTCTAGAACGAGAGATTTGGGCCATTCTTTTTGCATATTAAGCTTACTTTTGCCTCCTAGAATTCGTGAATAGTATGTTTCCTGGCTGCTTGATTACCCAAAGTGGGTTCTCTCACGATATGTGCTGATTCATATCTTAGTGGCTGATATCGAAGTCGACCTCTACGGTGAGACTCGATCTTGGGGCCCAAAGCGCTCCGAAGTCTTGTCATGAATCAAGTTCTAAATTCTTATCGCAGAGGTCCTTGAGATCCACAGAGGCGCAACTACAGAAGAGATTCGCAAAGCCTACCGAAAGGTATAGCAGAGGTGACCTACTAATGTTGTGAATGTGAGGACTTACTGAGTGATTCCACAGTCCGCTCTTGCCAACCATCCAGACAAGGTGCCCGAGGATGAGCGACCCGCAGCCGAAGCCAAGTTCATCAACGTTCAAAAAGCCTACGAGATTCTCTCAGATGATGACAAACGCCACCTCTACGATACACATGGCATGTCTGCCTTCAATGGCTCCGGGGAGCCCGGCATGGGTGGCGGCATGGGTGGCATGCCTCCAGGCTTCGAGGAGATGTTCGCAGAGATGTTCGGTGGAGGCATGGGCGGCATGCCAGGAATGGGTGGCATGGGCGGTATGCCTGGTGGTGGCCGATCTCGTCGAAGCCCTGACGATGAACAGGACTACGAGGTCAGCTTGGAAGAGCTCTACAAGGGCAAAACGGTCAAGTTTGCCAGTACCCGCAACATCATCTGCAGCCTGTGTAAAGGCAAGGGTGGCAAAGAGAAGGCCACGGCCAAGCAGTGCTCCACATGTGACGGCCATGGTCTTCAGGAGGTGATCACACAGATGGGCCAGTTTCTCACCAAGCAGACCAGACCTTGCTCAGTATGTAACGGTCAAGGGTCATTCTTCAGCCCAAAGGACAAGTGCAAGAAGTGCAAGGGCAAGCGCACCACCGAGGAGAAGAAGATGTTGGAGCTTTACATTGCTCCCGGTTCTCGGTAAGTTCTTTCGAGCGCAATCAACAATAGTGTTGGATGGCTTCAAATTCTGACACGTCTCACAGTGACGGAGAGAGAATCGTCCTGGAGGGAGAGGCCGATCAAATTCCAGGCCGCGAAAACGGCGATATCGTTTTCAAGCTGGTGCAGGAGGAGCACGAGATCTTTGATCGTGCCGGCTCGGATCTTCGAGCGGAAATTGATATCACCTTGGCTGAAGCCTTGACAGGCTTCTCCCGTGTGGTATTGAAGCATCTTGATGGACGGGGTATTGAGATCAAGCATCCTGCAGGCAAGGTCCTTTCTACCGGTCAAGTACTGAAGATCAGTGGGGAAGGTATGCCCATCAAGCGCAGCGATTCTCGGGGTGATCTGTACTTGTCGGTCAACGTCAAGTTCCCCGATGCATCGTGGAAGCCCACCCCTGAAATGTTGGAGAAGCTTCGAGAGGTGCTTCCCAAGCCGGAGCCGGCCATTGAGGCGTCAACCGTGGATGAGGTTGAGTATAACTCAAACGGTAACATGGACGAGTTTGGTGCTCGGGATGCTCATGGCGGTTCTGCATGGGTCGATGACGACGAAGACGATGAGCCCGCACAATGTGCTACTCAGTAAACCCCGTCAAGTTTCAATCTGCGCTCAATCGGCATACAAATGGCGTCGGGGGTTTTTTGCATTTTTAAAGTTGTCTCCTGGCTATGATTCGGAGCTTGGACTTCTCCATTGCACAATAATGACAGTACAGTTGATCAAGACTTTTGAGCCCGCTAGACTTGTGGCATTAGCGGTCTTTACGATCCTTTCGTTTTGCGACACTCTCTTGCGTATCCGATTTACCTTCACTGATAGGTAAACGAATGTGAATTTCGAGATCTCTGAAAAAAACCCCTTGGAATCTGGTAAACTGCATAGCGATGACCCAGCCTTGTGTGGTTGTGACAGTTCCATTGCCTCTATACAGGACTCTGTACTTTTCTCATGTAAAGCCGTATACCCTCAGATCGCAAATTTCGATTTTGAGCGCAGCTTAGTCCTTGTAGGCTACAATTAATCTTTCGAAGATCGATCATCACGAAGTCTTTGACCTAATAATGGTTCATTTCAGAACATGTAGTGAGCTTTGTGGACGCTTGGGACACATGACTAAGCATTGGATGTCGAACTCGTGGGCGCCGTCTGCACGGGCAAGTGAGTGACCGACTACCTTAATTGCACTCGAGTCTCCTCCACCTTCGATCACTTTACTAGATGAGCGAACCGGGTCACTTTCCCAACTCTTCCATGGCTTGTTGCTATGCTCGGTATGCAGAGCTGAATTCCTGTCCTGACTCAGCCTGGATTTCCATTCTATCTTGAGATCGGAGCTACCGAAGACCTGACCATACATATGTCAATATTGCTCGTTCCACACATGCTGCATGTTGAAAAGATTGTCATGGTCACGTCCTATTGGGCGCTACCTTCCTCACTACGATGGACACAATAGTTCAGCCTCAATTCATAATCGCTTGGCCTGTTATTCAAGACCTCGTCGGTGTCTTTTCACGCGGCCGTCCACACGACCTGGTGTTAGTCCCAGCAGAACTCGCCCTCGGCCTGTGAGGGTGCTCTGCAGCCCGCGCACCTTGTTCACGGAGTCCATTCCTCCAATTCTCTATCCGCCCTGCATCTTTGTGGGATTGCTCCTGGGTCTATGGACATGGAAATGTTTCTGGATCGTGATCATGCAGAACAAATTGCTGTATCTCTCGTGGCTACCCCCATTCTCGAGGTCCGACACAGTCGCCGAATATGAGGCTCAATGCAAGCCCGTTCGCTGGGAAGAAAAGCAAATCCGCAGTCTAGACGGCACCAAGCTAGCCATCTGCGAAGGGCACATTCCATGTGACAAGCACGAGAGCTCTGCACAGGCCAGGCAACCCTTGAACAAGGTCGTGGTTTGCTACTTCCAGGGAAACGGTGGCTCGACTCCTCTTCGCCTGCCACTTCTCTCGCAGGTGCTCAAAGGTCTTTCGGCTGAAGCACCTGCGGAAACCGAGTTCAAGGTCGTCGCACTCTCATATCGCGGATACTGGAAATCTTCTGGGCGCGCAACCCAGTCCGGGATCCAGCGAGACGCACAAGCATTCTTGAACTGGGCGTCCGACACGTACTCTTCAGAAGAAGAATCGACTCACCTCCAGTTGATTCTATGGGGTCATAGCCTGGGCTCAGCTGTCGCAACTTTCGCAATCCCTGCGTATCTCTCCAGTAGAGAGAATGCGCAATCAAGCGGGTCGAGAGTACCCGCGCAAATCTCAGGCGTGGTCATGGAAGCCCCCACCTCCAGCATCAAAGATATGCTCATTAGTCTTTATCCCCAGCGATGGCTGCCATACCGGTACCTGTGGCCCTTTTCGTGGAACACATGGTGCAATGCGTCCAACTTGATTCAAATTGTCGACTGGCGAGAGGAGCATCCGCTTGCGATGAGCAGAATCCCGCCCATATTGATTTTGTCCGCTGAGAACGACGAAGTCATCCCGCCCTATGTGGCAGGTCAATTGGAGCAAAAGGGTCTCGATTTGGGGCTTGATGTATTCAGGAAGGAAGTGCGAGGAGCCATGCATACAGAAGCGCCGATGAAGGAAGATGGTCGGAAGGCCTTGATTCAGTTCATATGTGATAGAACATCCACTACAGGATAGAAGGAGCTCCCTGCACAGTAACAGAGTGACTTGACCATGAAATGTACGAAGTCTTGAGATCGATTACATTGAGTTACGGACAGAGGGAAATAATTCTTGAAAAGGTGATATTATATCAAAATAGACGCTTAGCAATAGGCACTGTCCCTCGCCTGTATGTGGAAGAGAAGAGGATGAGCAAGGCCAAAGTCCCACGTGACCATGACACCACTCCAAAGGCCGTGAAACACATGAATAATTGAACAAAAACCGCTAGCATCACAACGCAGAAATAGCAGCAGAAAAACACAACTCGAACAGGACTAGAACACTATGCCGACCGGTAAAAATGACAGCCACAGAATGGTGAATTAAATAACAGAGTCCGCAATTTCCAACATTCATTGCACCCAGAAAAGCCCAGAGAGGAGCTGGTAATCACGTTGCACACAGCCAGTAACAATGTGATGGTTGAGCGAACTCAATAAGCATTGACAGAAGAAAGATAGAGCATAGACAAGGCTGACAGAGGGGACCCATTATTTTTGACACGAAGAGGAGGAATAGAGGTCAGACCGCAGCCACAAGCCCACATGTGAGCCAAAAGGCAGTCTGGCAAAAGCTGCAAAGAAGGTGCAGACATTGTTGGGTGATCGAGGTAATATGCTGCTGCCAAACGTTATCGTGAGACGATGCATAAGCCGGCAGACTGCGCAGCTACAGCTCCTCATGCCGGCAGCGCTCCAGAGAGCATAGGCAAGAGAATAGAGAAAGGTTCAACGGGATAAAAATACGCGATTGGGCTAGGGTATCGAGAGCAAGCAAGAAGCGAGATGAGGTAGAAACTCTGTCAGTTTCGCCTTGAGTGAGCGCACTCCAGAGACTCAGTAGGTTCCGTAGTCGGTAGTCCACTCTGGATCGCTACCAGCGACGCGGATCATTTGGCCGGGGTGTGGTCCATCTGGGCTGACACTGCGGATACCTTTGGACTTCTTGCCTACCAGAATGCTGTCGTCCTCGGCATTCAATCGTTTACCCTGTGCTGCCCGCAGCTTCGAGTAATAAACCTCACTGGCATCGACGTCCGATTCAGAACCATCGTCAAAGGTTTCCCAATTCTCCGACCCAGAGGTAGCGGTGACGACGGTAGATGAGTTGGATACCTGTCGGAGGGCAGGGGGAGGGGGTGCTTGAGATAGGTAAGGGTTGACCCGGGGAAAGCTCTGTATCGAGGAGTTCAGAGACGAGTGCGACGAGACAGACGATTGAGAGAATCCGGTTGATCGATGGTTGGACATCACTGAGGCGCTCATGAATGATCGTTGACGATCATCATAAACATCTTCAGGGCTCACAGGCCGGACGAAGGCGGAAGACATCGCACTATTGCAACGAGGCGGCTCTATGCTGTAGCTGCCACGATCCTTCGACTCCACTGTCAAGGCTCGCATTCTCGGTGGTGGAGGCCCGCGAGGAGGCGGCATCTTGCCATTAATCGTGCTGGAAGAATATGATCCAGGCCCAGTGCGACGTTCCGGGGAGGCCGTGCTATAAGGCACGTTACTCAAGGGAGCTCGTGCAGGTAGCTTCGAAGGTGAGCGAGCCCCAGCACGGTTAGCTCCGGAGTATCCAATTGTGTGGTGCTTGACTGGTCCGCTACTTGTAGGAGTCTTGGTCGCAGATCGAGGTGGAGGGGGTCCGCGCATGGAACTTCCAGGGCGAGACACAGGATCGCGCTTGATTGAACCGGTGACAGACTTGGTGGTAGATGGAGGTGCAGAAGGGGTCTTGGATCGAGGTGGCGGCTTGGATACCACAGGAGTCAACTTATCCAGATATCGCTCGCCATGAACCAAGAACGGCCGACCAAACTCGTCCTCCCAGTGTTCAAGCTCTTTTCTCAGCTCGGATTCAACTTTCGGCAATTCTTTAGCAATTCGCTTGCGCATCTTCTCCTCGCGCAGAAGCTTGCCAGGGTCGCGCTTCTCGCCTTTATTGCCTCGGCCCATCAGTCGAGATGCATCTTGACTGGATGCGGACAGGGCCTGCTTATCAGCGAGAATGCTGCGATGCTTTTCAATCAGCTCAAGTGTAGGGGCGCGCTGTTCCTTGAGCGTCTCAAGCCGCGCGATTTCAGCTTCATGTGCTTCAAGCAAAGCGTCACTACAAACGTCTGAAAAGGCGGGCGTGAAGTCCAGCATTTCTTCCTCCGAGAAATAGAGGCTATCCCACAGCTCTTGAAGGCGGCATCGAGCATCTTCCACAAACAGATGGAGATTCTGTCTCTTCAGCTCATTCAGACGAGCCAACTCATCTTCATATTCGTTGATGGTGCGAAGACCGCATCCGCGATTCGCGGAAAGGAACGCCTTGCGATCCGCCTCCTCAACCCCGAATCGCTCCCACAGACTCTCGACATTCATGCGGAGCTCCTTGATTTTGCGCTCGCGTCCCTTCTTCTCCTCAACCAACTTGTCACGTCGAGCCATTAAATTCGTCATGTCAGTCTCGTGAAGTCCAAGCTGCTCTGGTGAATCGCGATAGTGCCTAACAATGTTGGGGTCTGTCTGCACTTGGGGAGTTCCCAGCTCAGCCCAGAGTTTGATTATTTCTTCGGAGGCGGTTTGGACAAAAGAAATGCGCCGGTGATACTCCTCGTAGACGCGTGAAAATTCCGAGTCCAGTGCGGTTACGTATGCGGGGGACAAATCGAAGCTGGGAGGTATGACTGAACCCGGGGCTGTTGGGGGTAAATCGATTTGGAGGAAGGTCGTCTCGAGGTGGGATGAATATGATTCGAGCGCGGCGACTAGCTCTGCAAAATTGTAAGTAAAGGGGTTGAGTTAGATGTAGGCCATCTAATCTTTTAGACTCACTCTTAACCTGTTCGAAGCGCTCGCGATGCAATTTTGCCATGGCCTCGTTCTTCTCGCGCAGAAAAGCGATGCATCTGTTCAGAGGATATGTGACGCGTAGATCGTCGCGATTGAGCTCGTACTGTCCATTGGCCCGCTCATCACCAAGGGACGCTTCCATTTGTGAGATCGCGGTGATGAGGCGCTGTGCTTCTTGTGTCATTTTTTCCTTCTCCCTGTAGGATATTCGCTGTTAGCCATGGATGCGACGGCTGGAATCTGCTTAATCGGGAGACTGACTCGTCAACAAGCTTAAGGTGGTTGTTCAGTGTCTCTGACAATGCATTGAACAGCTTTCAATCACAAAATATTAGCATGTTTCGAATATATGAGGGGCGCAACGTGTGAGAATTGGGGATACACACTTCTGATTCACGCGACTCGCGCTCATGACTCGGAACTCCGATCTGGTCAAAAATGCCATGAAGCTGATCCACGATGTTGTTGACCTGGGTGGTCAAGTAGCTCGTATCAACAGCCATGGCGTCACCGAGATATTATTTGCGACGGTCGTCGCGCTTCTACTTGGCGAGAAGATCACGAACTCTTAAATCCGTTGATGGGAGGGTGTGCCGAACTCTCGGTTGCGAAGTCGAAGGGATCAACACCGGCAGCTCAGGGCGCAATATGTTTTGGAAAAACTCGCCAACCAGAACACCAAAATCAAACGAAGGTGGGGATAGAGACCTATTAGTCAAGAGACAAAGGCATTCGGAGACGCGGAGTCCGGAAGGTCGTGTTTATGAGGGGAAAGGGCGAGCGCACAGGCTGGATCGCGAAACCGGATCAATCTTTGGTAGCGCTGGTTGTTTGGAGCGGGCGGTCTCCACGGGCAACGGCTGACTCATCACCCTCAACACCCCGATACTGCCTGTCTTCCTATCTGCCCCACCGCTTATCTCCCCGCCCGGTCTCTGAACGATGAAGCTGTCAATGCTCGACCTCCACAATGTTCTGCTAGCTATATCGACTCCGCTAAACCCGTGCTTTGATTTGACCACGACCCAGTCCCGCCAAATTCAATATTGGATTCCTGAGATATTTAACCCCCAAAATTTGAATCACAATGCAGGCTGCACAGCAGTCCTGGGGTGAGCTTCCCTCTCATCAGTTACTCATGCTCAACGGCTTAGCTTGACGCTGATCACTCAGCGCATCATAGAGCTCGAGAACGCCATCAGCGTATTTGATCCTCAACGCGATGCACTTTATCAATATGATGAAGCTATACAAAAGCAATTGAACGCTGAAAGGCCATGGGCTTCAGATCCATATTACTTCAAAGCAGTCCGCATCTCTGCGACAGCTCTTTTGAAGATGGTTATGCATGCCCGCTCTGGTGGATCACTGGAAATCATGGGGTTGATGCAAGGCTACATTTTGCCACACACCTTCGTCGTAACCGATGCATTCCGACTACCGGTTGAGGGAACCGAGACCCGAGTGAACGCCCAAGACGAAGCCAATGAATACATGGTGTCCTATCTACAATCGTGCCGAGACGCAGGACGGATGGAAAATGCTGTTGGCTGGTACCACAGCCATCCCGGCTATGGGTGTTGGCTCTCTGGTATTGACGTTGCGACTCAACAGACCCAACAAATGACCGGTCCGTTTGTGGCCGTTGTGATTGATCCAGAGCGAACGATCTCAGCTGGCCGGGTAGAGATCGGTGCATTCCGCACGTTTCCCCAAGACTTTACACCGTCGAAAGAGGCGCAAGAAGACGACGATTACCAGACCATTCCCCTCGGCAAGGCGGAGGATTTTGGGGCGCACGCCAATCAGTACTACTCACTTGAGACGACACATTACAAAAGCACACTTGATACCGAGATACTATCCTTGCTCTGGAACAAGTACTGGGTTGCGACGCTGAGTCAGAGCCCTCTCTTTATGTCACGAGACTATGGCAGCAAGCAGATTATGGATCTCAGTCAAAAGATGCGCAAAGCGACCCGGGTCATTGAATCCAGCGGACCACGCGGCGGGTCGGCGGCAGCAAAGGATCAGCAATTGGAAAAAGTTGTTCGCGGAGGCCAGCGCATTGTTTCAGAAGAAGTCAAGGGGCTCCTGGCCTCTGAGGTCAAACTCAAGCTTTTCCAGGGTGTCGCAGCCCAACCATCCTCACAAGCTTGAGGTGAGCGCCGAAAGAAACATCATCGTGCGTCTCTTCGTCTACTGTTGATCGATTTGATTTCCACAACAAACAAGCGCCCGGATACCCAATCAAGGTGCACCAGCAACGCGAGTGCGGGCTTGAGCAGTCCACGACGGTCAATTCGCTAATGCCATTGTTTCAAGTCTACGGCTCCCGTACTCGATTCCAATCAACTCAAAAGCGCCTTTTAAATGAAACTGGGCTGAGACCTCCCTGCATGCGAAAGGGGAGCAGCACTCATCCGAGGTCGGCGCACCACACTTGCAGGCGCTGAGACGGTCCGTTCAGTCTTGCTGGTAACTCCAGCAACACAAACGCACAAGACTCGATGCTACGGGACACATGACAGCTAGTCTACACATAATGGGATGAAGCCTACACCTCACTTTTTTTTCGTATCAAGCAATTGGTCTAGTAGACTAATAGTCACACCGCGGGCAAAGGCCACACCAGAAGCACGTTGAGGTAGTTCGCCGGGTGTAAATAAAAAAAAAAGACAGCTTGGTCCGACATGTGGATAGGCTCAGATTGTGTATCATAACATAACATCGTAGTGTTGCATGGAGTCACAGTCCGCGTATACAAAATAGCACACTCTAATAGTGGTGACAAGGGAGTCTTTCCATACCCATAAAATCACAACCGCGAATGAAAAATAGACAGAAAAGCTGAAGGCCATCCAGCAGCTGCACAGTACACAAAGGTCTGCAAATGCGACTTGGATATAGAGCTTGTACATATGAGGATATCAAGATACGGGAAATCAAACAGAATGACCGTTAGAATTGAAAGGTTACCATGGCCCAATGACTGTCAAGGCCAACCAGTCCAAGGTGCTGCATAATAGTAAGAGGATGAATAGACTGGTTCAGATGTCTCGCAATTTGAGCATTAAGAGTGCCAGCCTGTATGGCGAGGAAAAAGGCTCGCTTTCGTATGTCATCGAGATTGCCGCTTGACGTCGGTTGTGGAAAGCCAGCGAGATAATTTGCGGGGGAGAGAGGGTCATTGTGTTCGGCCCACTCCCCACGAAGGATTGGCAGATGCAGTCAGCACTGCGGGCGTCGCGAACCGAAGCTTGATCTCATGAATCATGAGGAGGAGGGGGGAGGGAGGCAGAAGTGCCGTGTTGCGATGGCGGGAAAGGCGATGCGCTCGAGCGCACTAGCATGTCTTCGGCACGGTCGCATCGGCCGGCAACACCCAGAATGGAGGCCCCGTGGCCGGTCATTCGTGCTAGTCGCGGGGGTTGCGGAGGCTAGATGCTCGCAATGACAAGCACTATGCAGCCACGGGGCTTTCATTGGCGCGATTCAAGCGCGTGTGGCTGTGGCGCTGCAAACCCCACGATCCTTGAACGATGGCGGTCGCATGGCGAACCCCAGCCTCGACGGGGAAGCCTCCGGCTCACGCTTAGAGGAATCCAGATTCTGACAGCAATCTACGAGGGAAAAGTCAAAGCAAGTTAGTTCAACTTCCACACACGGATTGCAACAATAGTTTGGACTTTGTCGCCCAGTAAAAAACAAGCAGAGGTAAAATCAACGGAAAGGAGGAAGAAAAGCAACTTGGCACCCTTGACTTGGGGGCCAGACTTCGAATACGCTGAATCGCCCAAAAAGAAACCACGCCTTCGCGAAACACAGAACAAAGGGAATAGGGAACGAAGGGATGGAGGGTAGACAACAGCGCCAATCAGGCGGTCAACGCAGCACAGCGACAGTGCTCGCGAACAGCAAAGAATTCTTATCTCGGAGCGCTTGTTCGGCATACCTTGCAATCTTTTCGTCCTCGCGTTCTCTAGGCTCGATCTCCAGACTCCGGTCATACATGTCATGAACGTCACCTGCTGCCTGTAGGTTGCTGAGGATGTAGTCCTGTAGCTCGGGAACTGGCTGCAGATAGTAAGGTTTGTTCTGGTATTGCTGGATGTCTCGTATGACCTCGGCGGTCTTTGCTCGTTTGTTGAAGTTGATCAATTCAGATGGGGTCAACGAAGGGATACCGTCCTCGATGAAAGTCAAATCTGTCAGGTAGACACCTATTGTACAAGTAAGTCTTCACGCCACACAATCGGTCCCAGCAAAGGAACTGGGCCAGGTGGCGCCGGGAGAGATCCTACCGAAGAATGGAATACAAGGTGGGTTGGCATTATGCAGAGTTTCCCGATATTCGCCGAAATTCTTTGTGCTTGCCATGAGCCGGCGCATCTGCTCTAAGATTGTCGATGTACGCCCACTGACTTGTCCCCAGGTACGACCTAGACGATGAATTGGAGCTGTGCCCAAGGCGGAGATGATGGAAGTAAGTGTGGAATAGTTGTTCAATGCGCGGCATTTCTTTATTGGCAGGTCAGCAACCACTTCCTTAAAAAACCTTCAAGTGAAAGAAGATAACTTACATCAGCAACGTTCACGAAATGCTTTATGACAACGACTCGTTTCTTTACGTCGCTGTGAGTCAAGATCATTTCCGCAACCCAGTTGGTCAATTGATTGGAGTGGAGGATCAGTGCTTTGACATTCGCGGCTGGTTCGGGGTCGTCTGGCCCGACCTTCTTTTGCCACGTTTTGTTCAGGCACTCCGTAGGTCGGATCTTGGAGTACAAACGTGATTCAATAATCGTCAGTTGCCGGGCAAATTCGGTCGGATCGATGTCCAAGAATTTCAGCTTCTTCATGTTCTTCGGTATGATTGGCGTGGGAAGCGCTGAGTTTTGAGAAGGCACCAGGCGCTTGACAGAATTGTCCTGGCCTCGAAGTCTTTGTTCGATTACTGCTAGGAGTGTAGGAGCTCCTGGAGTTTTGGTGGTGGCGATAGAATCTCTTGTGAAAGCGTGAACACGTCGTAAGAGATCCATGTTCATCTCATCGTTTGGCTCCATCCAGAATGTATCAAACCAACTTTTCAGAATGTTTACTACACGGAAGCGTATGGGCTTTTGCTTCCGATCAATCCACATCTGCATATCATCTGAGTTTAGGCCAAATGGAGGCTGAACGTTGAAGCGTTGCACCAGCATCTCAAAGAGCTCGGCAGCCGTGGTAAAAGATCGATAGGTGAGGAGGAAGGTGTTGTTGAAACTTGAGTCCAGCTTGTCGTGGCGAGTAAGATGTTCCACTAAGCCAGCTAGGGTTCCACACTTGAGAAGCGCAGCATCGCCCTTGATATCGTAAAAGACTTCACCCTCGTGATCCATCTTGAGGAACCATGGCGTTTCTTCCGGTTCTCGTACGGGTTCACGGACAGCAGGTTCCCGTGTCACTGAGGTAGGAGGCGCCTGACCGAAGAATCGCTGGGCCTTGTCCATGTTCCGGCGCACTTTGCCACCGCCGATGGCATAGGAGGACGGAATTCCAATTGACTCATTGGCGATCTTGGCTTGGGATTCGCTACGAGCATGAGCACCTCTGCTGATCGCTTCATCCTCCTCGTCTAGGCGACCTTCAATGCCCAGCGCGACTGATTGATCCTCGGGTATCTGCTCTAGAAGCAAGGATAGCGAAAATCCAATCTGGGACACGAAGTTCTCCAGTTGCTTGGCTACCATTCGCACAGCCGTCAGTCGGTCATCGAGGGAATCACCACGCAACTCTGCCCACTCATCAGATAAAGGTGCAGAAACCGCCTGGCAGGTGAGTATAAAGTCACCAATTCCGTCGTAGACTCGCTGCTTTTGTAGACTGAAGTCAACGAGCTGTGGATTTTGGAAGCTGGTGCCCAAGGGCACGAGATTGATTGACTCAATTGTCGAAATCCACGGGCGAAACTGCTCAGTCACCTTGATCGCAGCCGCAGAAATCGCGTCTGCAAGTTCACGATGCTGGGAAGCCGTTACAATCTTCTTATCAAGTGAGAGTTTGTCCTCCAATCGACGAATGCTACCGACGAATGACCGCCTTTGGACGTCGATGTGGTCCAAGAGCGCCGAATCCAGCGGAACTGAAGGCTCAGGACGCGATTCATTATGCTCGGGAACAAGGAATGACGTCGGTCCAGAGGTCTCAAGGGAAACGCCGTTATTTTGCCAGCTGCCACCACAAGTACTGCCACTAACGAACCCAGGGATGATGCGACTTATGCTTTCCCCACGCTGCTGGCGGGCAACGTCGACATAGCCGTAGACGCCTTGCATAACACCCTCAGCTTCCTGGAGACATTTGTTGACAGAGTCGGGCCCCGGCCAGTCCGCGGCCGCGATGTGTGAAGACAGAACGAGTTTGGAGAACTTGGACATCATATCCCGGAAGTAAGGGTAGAGTGCCTTGTTCGTAGAGATAATGGAGGGATTCCCTGAGTGGTTATCTGTGGTGTCCGAGCCGGCCGCCAGCAGCATGCGCAGATGGTCGGAGATGTCTTCAGCTCGTCGGACATATTCTGACCGATCCTGCGCAAAGAGCGCCTGGCGGTAGGCCTCGACGGCATGGCGCATGTTATCGACCAGGAGAGGCCATGTGACAGGAGCGGATAAGCCATCGTCGACAAAGTGTCGAGGGGTGCCCGAAGAGATCGAAGGTCTCCCAAAGCTTTCGGCGATCGACGTGTTAGCGCTTGTGGGTGCACCGCTACTGAGAGTCCCATGGCTTCTCATGGACGAATTGTGGTGGAACTCCTTGGAAGCAGGCGTATGCAGAGAGTCCATTGATGTGGCGGGTGATACGCCGTCCATGAAGGACTGGCGACGACGAGACATGGAGTCCTGGGAAGCGAGCATCAAGGATTCGCCTTCCGCCTCGGACGCGGAGCCATCATAGTCGTCTTCGTCGCGCTCAAACCCGCGCGCCATCAGCTCAGGAGGTGGCCGGGTTTGATCGGGAACAAAGAAATTCGTCCGGTCTCGGGGACCAGTCTCGTTTGCGGCCGGATTCTCAAATGGCAACTCCATCGTGGAATAGCCAGTGAGAGTGTTGAAGTAGAACAGGCGGCCATCCGGGGTAGCCTGTGGAATCCAGAATGCGGCTTCTTCCTGGTCATTTGCGGCCGACACGTCGCCATCACCCGACACACCAGATTGTGCCTCGTGGGGATGAGCTTCCGAGTCCAGCTCTTCATCCTCCAAGCGACCGTTCGCCGCCTCATCTTCCGCACCAGATTCTACGCTGATGTCCGTCTCGTCCTGGCCATGTGTGGTGTGCTCGCCGAAGGCGTCGGCTTCGGTGATGATGGTACAATAATTGCTGGGGAACCAACCCCGTGTGTTGTCAATGACTCCATCCCACCAACCGGTCTCCAGCTGGTTGAGCACCTGAATAATATCTCCCCGGCGAAAGCTTAGGCTGGTGTGGTCGTCGGCATCGTAATCGTACATGGCCCGCACAAATAGCGCGGGCGGCTCCGGGCTGACCGCATATCCGGTCGCCATCTTCTTCTTCGAGGGGGAGGAAATAGATTCAGTGGAGGGACGAGATACACTGGAATCTCTGATCCTCTGGTGTGCAGCGACAGTCGGTGTCGCAGTCTGCTCGTCGGTGAATTCAAACGCGGTCGCGAACGCTCCAGCTTTGGATGTCAGTATAGAATTCGTTCCGACAGCCAAATCTGCCGCACGGAAGTCGATCATTAAGGAGAGTCGGTCGCGGCGGCAGCGAACAAACAACCACCCACACGTCAAAAAGCGACCGAGCCGTGGCAGGATCTGTTTCAGCAATCTCGCGACAAGATTCTGCGGGGACGGAGGAGGGCTTTCGGAATCTCTTTAGTAACCTCCGTGGCTCATGACTGATCCCCGGGGAGGGGGGGGGTTGGTGTTGAAGCGATTGAGGGGCGCAGGAGGATTAGTGTGCCGGTCACAAATTCCCCGGGAAGATGTTTTTGGGATCAGTTGGAGTGTGAAGACCAAGAGACACAGCCGCAGCGCCTGGCAATCAGAAGGTCAAAGTCGAGTTCGACATGATGGTTGTGCTCAGGGGAAGAATCAATTCGTTCAGCGGTGGGAAGAGAGGCTGTCCACTGTGTCCGTGTCCAGTGCCCACTGGTCCAGTCATGGGGAGGGGGGAGCACGGAGTGTGAGGGAGTGAGCATCTGAGTGGAGGCGGGACGGATAAGGCGTCTGCTCCGTGGACGAGTTCGTTGACCGTTCTGGCCCTGTATGGCTAGAACCGTCAATACGCGCTATTTTGGCAGGAAACGGGGCTCGCGGTAAGGTTCGCTTACGATTATTCCGTGGCGTACGGTATTGTGCTACCATACAGGGCAAACGGTTCACGGCATGCATCTTGAGCAGCTGCACAGGAGCGCTTTGGCCGTGAATTATCGAGGACCTGTCGGACATTGCTATGATCTTCTACAAGAACAGTTCCCTCTTTTTTGACTTTGTCTAGGTTCGCTGAGGTTCCAAAGGCTGGCGTACATCGTACATCTCGTATAACCTCTGACAACATGACGAAATTTGCGTTTCGGGTGCTCAGGAGTATCCTGATCGGCATCCTGTGATGCTCCCCTGGAGGCTGCGGCAGACCAGAAATCTGGCGATTGTGAAACTGGCACATTGGCACTCGATGCTCAACTCGTCTGTGGACGGCGTCTTGGTACCCATCTGGGAACGGTGCAACCATGGCCAGTAATGGTCCTGAGCCGGATTGTCAACTCACGTTGAGCATGGTGTGACCTCGACCATCGCCTTGACCTTGAGACGGACCAGTTGGCTGATATTTGGGCGCTCGCCCTGCACAGCGGTAGATCCAGATCGTATACATCCAGTCGGCACCCCTTCAAGGCGCATCATTGCTGTGGTGCAACGGTGCAGGACACTCGATGATCGCGCGCGGGGGAATCCAATAATTCCGCCCAGACTCACGGGAACCCCCTGGGTCAACTGGAGGGAGGTGCTTGAGTCCGATCTCATTGGACATTTGACTGGAGTGAGCCATCGGTCTGGTCGCCGAAACGCTTTATCGATCAGCTTCTCAGGGCTACCATGGCACGTTCTCACTTGAAAATTGGGTAACGAGGCAGCCGCCCGCTCGCGTCATGATTGGGCTGCATACCATCTGCAATGGAACGTATGGTCTGCTCAGACTGACGCTCTCGGTGTCACAGACCATCTGCGTCTGTCCCCCATCACGTCCCCGCGCTTTTGGAGGGGCCATGGACGGGTCTGAGTAAGTGAGATGTCAGATGCTAAGAGATGCCGTCTTCGGGCCGATGATCTTGCATCTTGGTCCCTACCATCGTCGCATCGATGCGAGGTCGATGCGGCAGGTTCTCAGTCTTGGCCACAGACACGCGAGGTGGGAGAAACCACATTCCCAGTCCACGCGGATGTGGTCGTTCTCCGACTGTCTCCTTCCACGTTGTAACGCACAAAGTTTGGGGCTCTCAACGGGCGCCAGGGGCAGGACGGTAGTAGCGGGATTACTGCGGATTTCATCCCATTTCCCGAATTTGGGGGCGCAACCAGGTCGAGGCCAAGGCAATGGGAACAGAGCACGGCGCCCGGGTGGATCGATCGGTCGCGACTTTGCAACGATGTGGGCACCGCAGTACTGTAAACTTCCAGGCTCCGCAACGAATATCCACTTGCACGTTGCAATTGGCCGTCTGATGTCTGCTTGGTTCTTAAGCAATGGACGAGCACGATGCTTTGTACATAATGGATTCTCGGGTTCCCGGGTGCTTCACAAAAATGCGCCGTTAGCAAGCAGTCGTACACCGTGTGGCTTGGGACATTCTACACACGGAATCCAAATTGCGCGCGCATCATCTGTCTTCTAGAAGTCGAGAAAGTCGGAACCTCAAGCCACGAGGTGACCCTGTTGACTGTTCAGAGTCAGATATTTCCCGCTCGGATGTCTAGTACGGGACAGGATACCTTCCTTGCCAGGCCGGGTCAATGAAGCCCTCCACGTGGCCAGGCCGCACGTCAAAGAGGAAGGGGGTCAGCGATGCTCGGCAAAAGCGGTTCTTTCAGAATATAGAGATGATTCCACCACAGGCATGTCCATTCCGAACAGTTCACTTAAAGGCCTCTTCATGCCTGAGGATTCGCTTCGTTCGCTCCACTGAATGGTCACGTCGCTGACCGCAGGAGCTGCTGATTTTTTGTGAACTTGACTCGAGACAACGACATTCGGCTAATAATGCCCAATGCCTTATGGCCTACTCCTCTATCCTCTGACATGACAGAGTCCTTGCAACGAAACCGTACGGCCTTGAATTGTTCCCTGTTCATTGTCCCTTCCACAAGCCATGGGCTGAGACACGGAGGGTGGAGTGGACAGGGGGTGAGCTGCTAATTGATGAGCTAGCGAACGCTTCTAGAAGGTCGACTCACTTACAGGGCTAGTTTAGTTGACAATGTGGCGGGCAACATATCCGCAGAACTCCGAACTCACGGATTGACTTTGGGTGCGTGATTAATTTTCTTTTTAAGTTCTTCGACACCTGGTCTCTTCAGGGGTCGTTCTGGGGTCCATGCTCTCATCGTGAACCCACTAGCCTCGTGGCAGCCACAAGGAATGGGATGGCTAGTCCATGATCTCTTTCAACGGCTCAACTGATAACACTACATGCAGATAGACTGTGTCATGTATGATTCTGTTGATAAGATAGGGCGTCTATCCCCGGAGGTGACGAGAGCTGCCTCCTGTCCATATGGCTATGTATTCGTACCTGGGACAGGGCTTGTGCTCCTCAATCGGCTAGAGTCATTAGGGTCATAGCATATAGTGATCTAACTACAAGAGGCAATGAGCAGGCGTCTGTTCAACTTGAATCAACTCAATCAAGTATTAAAGTTTGCATACAGCACGCGGTCTAGTGAAACCCTGTGTGTGGAACTGTGGATTCTTCATCTAACCATCCTCATTTCATTGAAGCTAGATTGTTCGTCCGTTTCGTACCGGACTGCATTGGAAAAGTATCCTACATTTTGAAATCGCTCGTTTGATTTCCTCCACATACCATCCTTGAATACAGAGATGAGAGACCCCTTACAACCTGATGACAGGAGAACAATTTACATCCGACCTGTGATATAATCGATCTCTCAAAGTATCCATTCGATCTCCTAGCCTACTCAGTGGCATGAAGGTAGACTCACCTCGGCCACAACGAGCACCTTCAGTCAGGGACGAATGCTACCGATGTTCTTGCTGGAGTTCAACGGCCCCACGCTTTCTATCTACTCGTTCAGAATATGCTCTGATATAGTGGTTTCCGTCAGTAATCTTCATCTTCCTCGTTTCAGGTAGATTGGGCATCACAATCATCAGAAGACACTCGAAATCACCGACCTTTGACCACGGTATAGAGGCCTCGGGCTTCCGGTACAATTGATCTTCCGTCTCTGGTTCTGGCAATCAAGAACGTGCAGTCCATGGCGACATTAGTAGACCACTATACCAGTAGACTCAGCTGTCCTGGCTATTCGAGTAAATAGCCACCAGATCCACTAGTACAGCTCGTGCAAGCAGCTCCAACCTCAATAGCAACAGACTCTTATGGAATCCCGACTGTCCTGATATGCGCCTGATCTCCACGGCTATACAGAAGCGCGCCGTCCATCTCGATATCTCACTACCTCCATCTCCTTCACTTTAACATAAGAGCAATAACAAATACGTATCAATTATTCCACAAATGGGTCGACTCTTAAGATCTTGGTGCAAGAACCCTCCCTCGGCATCATACTGTAAGATATCCTTCCAAAGGCGCTTTTTTGCCCCGATGTTATTCATGCAGGAATTTTTAAACTCTGAGCTGGCTCTTACCTGTCTGAATTAGCCTAGGTACCAGGTAACTTCAGGGACATGAAGCTGTCTTGATATGGTGACAGGGGCACATCTAGCAAAGAAAACGCTCAGTGACGCTTTTGCTGCCCATGACACAACGGAAGAAATTCAGGATAGTAATGCACGGCTGCTTGACAAGTCTAGCCATTTGCTCTGGTATCATATGGGTCTGAGTACGATAAAGTTTTTGTTGCTTTCTAGAGTGACAAGCATGTCGTAGGCTCTGTTGATGATGATGACGATTATTGAAAAGATGAGTGCATCTTGGATGAAACGAGTGTGCAGACATATAGGTACACATCTAACCCTCCATTAATCGAGGCCGTTGCGGATGCCACCCGCGGGCTCCCTGTCACAAAACTGGACTGAGACTCGTTGAGCATGTAGATTGATACGAGACACAATCAACTGTCTGTATTCCAGGGTGAGCTTGTTCTCGGATCGTTCAAAACTTTGAGACTTTGATGTTCTCTATACGCGGGACATGTTGATGAGAGTCCTTTTCAACCTTGATCTGTCGATATTCGACATCTTTTTGCCGAGATACAGCTAGAGCCGTGGGCGCGGGCAGGAGCTGAGATGAGTGAGGGTGGGACTGCTATGGAGAAGAGATTCGAACTGGGCTGTGGACTTGTGATAAGTGGCATACTTGCATGCTACCTTTAGCTCTTTTCTTAGCTCGACGGCTTGTCCAGGGCATGGTACATTGCAGATGTGTTGTCCTTTCCCTGGGCGATGGCCAGGACTGATCAAAATAGATCTTCAGTCTCGTGCGATTCTTCTAAAGGCAGTTGAGCTTCTCGACACCTTACAAAATGATCTATTCAAA